TCAGCATTTAAAAGCTGATTTTCATTTATTTACTTACTTGTTTCTTGTTTTTTTTTTTTTGTATAATTTTTTATTATCGTTTTTCCATTACATTTCCATTTGAAAAAGTTTTTCTCACTTCATGTATACATATATAATATATGTGTGTGTGCACCTCTATATTTTCCAATAGATGCCATCTTTGTGTGTTGTTTTTGTTCATTAAAAATTTTTTTGAGTAAGAAGACAAAAAAAATGTTATTTTAATGTTGTAATTGAAATGATTAAAAAATAAAAATCAGAGAAAAAAATTGGGAAAAAGAGGTAGTAAATAAGGGAAAAATACTTTTCTTTTTTTATGAACTTCAAATCGAATCGGAGCTAAAAAAAAATTATCTTTATATTTCACATTAATAATGTCCCATACCTATGTGTATATAATTATATGAAATTTTAATTTAAAAATTATTTTGAAATTTTCGAATAAGATCTGTTCATATTTTCGTTCATTAATTGATTAAAACACAATTAATGTTACAAACTTTTGCTCTTAACCACATTTGCGGTGCGCTGTTTTACTATAATTCAGCCTCTTTATGAGAGTGACTGACAAGACGCAGTAATATTCTGATAGCCCACTATCTCAATACACAATAATGGTATTCACGCATTGTTCAAAATTCCTTCTTGTTTTGCTTCTCTGCTCTTAGTATGGTTCCTTTTCAGTTTTATTATGATGGGAGGTAATGGTTTTTTCCATAGCCTTACAATCTTCTGTTTTAACAAGTAAAATGGTTTTCTGTAAGACCAATATATAAATCTTAATTAACGCCATGCTGGTAGCCACTTTCTGTTAAAAATTTTCTGCAATCCATATTTTTTTACAAAAAATAATAAGTGTCTCTTTAATGTATACATTCAATTGCATGATTATTTTAAATTTGAATTTATGTAATTATTCAAATGTTTACTTTGAAAAAACTGTCAGAAACTTCAAAAACCAAAAAAAAAAATTTTAGAAAATGTTGCCAGCTTAAATATTTTCGCGATGTGATTTTGTTACGCAGTATATCAAACCACTTCCGAATTGTAAATCAACTTACGTAAATTTGCGCCTTTCGCCCATTTTTACATAATATGTCACCTGAAATTTTCATATACATTCATATTTATTAATTAAATTAATGTCAAATTCATGTTATTCAAATCAAGGGCTTTAGTTAATAGGTTTCTTTATACAAATTTATAAAAATCTGTAATTTTAATAATATTGTCTGAAAATCGCTTCCACAAAGCAATTGAATTTGGCTTCTTATATAAGCTTGCTGTCCTATAAAAGTTTTGTTAATTTTGAATTTTATTTATGGTGAAAAGAACTGGAGTTAAAATTAACCTATAACTGCCTTTCATGCCTCTAAATTATTACAGCCAATACCTATAACAACGCCCTACAATATCCACCCTCACACACAATATTCGGGACACTCTACATAAATAACACTGTCTTCTATAAGGTGTAGGTGTACCTAAAATATATTATTTTTTTAATTTAATATAAAAAAATTAATATACATAAAATAATAAAATTAAAAATATTTCCACTAAAAATCACAAATTAAAAATTAAATAAAAGAAAGAAAAAAATTTATCTATGGGTATTTAAAAATTAATTTAGTAATTTTATTACGATTTTAAAATTAATGGGGTGCCTTAACAACAATTCCCAAAATGATATAACAAAGGAAATTTCTTTATTTTTTTATAGCTTTTTGTCATCAGTTTATGTTTTTTTATTGTTCTGGTTGTTTATATTCGTTCGCGGATTATTTCAAATATTTTATGAAAAATTTTGAATTTTCAATTAAATCAATTTTTTTTTTGTTAATTTATTTTCTTTAAATAAATATTATTTTATTATATAAGGTTATGGTATTTTTTTTTATATAGAATTTATTTATAATGTTGTGTTTTAAAAACTACATGAACACAAACAAAACAACAAACAAAACACTTTTAAACTTTAACGCTAACGCTGTTTTGTTTTGCTTTTTTGTTGTTTTTTGTTGCTGCAACACAATCATCAGTCTCAAATTATCAATAAAAATCGCTTCTTTTATTTCTCATCTCCAATCCATCCATAAGAATACATATTAATAACAATGGGTCGTGCGCCTTCCTCAGACTAATAATAAATATTTTGATCACCTAAAAAAAAAAACAATAAAATATAAGAAAAAAAATCGTTAAAAAATATAAGTGAAGTTGGGTCACAACTAATGGTTTGTAAAGTAGCACTTTTTCCTTGCATTGATAAAATTACGAATTGTTTAAATTACGTTCATACATGTATCAAAATATTTCAAGTGATTACATACTTTTCTGATGCCAACAAAAAATTTTAAGAGCCGTTAAGATAATAGTCGAATTCAAGGATTAATAATATTTTTGGATGGCATTGCATTTACCGTTATTTTTCTGCATTAATAGAAATTCGGAAAACCTTGCAGTTTCGACAATATGTGGTGCCGAAAATTCAAATTCTACAAATTTTGAGAGATGATAACTTGAGAGGAAGTACTAAAATTTCAGACTCCTAAAAGTTGTAGAAGAAAAACTATATAAAAATTTTGAAAAGAACTAATTTAGATAACGGTAAATTTTAGCATCCATTTTATCATTTTATAATATTTAATTATACTACACGGCATTAGAAGAAACAAGCTACTACTTTTCTACGTTTGTAGAGAATTATAAAAATGTTTGTGGTACCGTTACAATTAGTGATTAAAAATGTCATTTTTAGGATTTTGAACGACTGTAGCTTTTCAGTCTTAAGGGGTATAGAAGTTTTGTAAACAGACACACGGGCGGACGGACAGGGTGTAAATAATCAAAAAAAAAAATTTTTTTCAATTTTTTTTAGAAAAATGAAAAACAATAAAAAAAACACAACACCACCACCTCTAAGAATTGAAAACAAAAATGTCTTTTGTTTACGTTTTATTATTTTTATTGAATTTTTTATTGATTTTTGATTTTCATTTTGTTTTTTTCTTGTTTAATATTATTTTTATTTTGTTTAAATTCAATTTTCTTCAACTAAATATGGTGATCAGAAGCTCCTACAACAGGTGACAATAATAATTTTTAATACTAAAAGCGATTATTGTCAATTTTAAATTTTTTGTTTTTTTTTGATGTGCAAAAATGGTATTACAAAAAATTGTGTGTTCTTTTTTATTGTATTGCTTTTGTTACAATATTAAATTGATATAAAGGTTTTGAAGTGATTGAAATATTTTAATTTTAATTTCAACACAAAATTTAAAAATTTTTCAACTTTATAATTCATTTTTAATTTATAAATATCGGTATTTTTGGAAATTTCGGATGCGATCAATAAAAATCATTGTTCAATTTTCATTTGAAAAAGTATTAAAATTGATTGAAAACAGAAATGTCAAAAAATTGGTTTTCGGAAAAATTAACTTTAAAAACTAAAGAATATTTGCAACTCTCACAAATTTTATTTGCCATTTAGAAAAATATCTCACACGTTTATATGAAAAAATTTCTGAAATATTAATAAAATTGAAATACAAAATTGTAACTGTAAAACAACAACTTACTCAATGGCAACACTTCCTACATAATTATAGAAACGAAACTGATATAATTATGGCTGTCAAACAAGCTTTATTGGCTAACAAGCTTTATTGGAAAGGGAAATGAAAAGTATGTGACATGAGCCATTGATGCAAATGTAGTTGTTTGAATTGGTGAATTCACAATCAATAATGTCCAACAGTTTCTGCATTTCAAATTTGAAGTTTTCTTTAAAAATTGTTATATTATGGCAACACTTATTCAAATTATAATAATAATTGTCAAATACAAACATGAATCACAACAGTATCTATAGAAAATATAATACATACAACATATTATACGAATATTATGTGACAATTGTGATGAATGACAAAAAGTATAAAAGTGAATAATTGAATTGGAGTAAAAATTCTATTGTTTAGTTTGACAATAAAGATTATAAATTTAAACAAACTATTTAATAAAAAAAAATATTTGTAGGTATTTTATATATTTCAATTCTGTATATGTATACTCATATATTTTTTTGCTACCTTTTTAAGGAGTTGAAAACCGTTATACAATAATAATAAGGTAATTTATTATATAACAACTTAATTTTTTTTATTGTTGTTCTTTTTTTTATTAATGAGATTGAAATTTAAATAAAAAAAAGGTATTATAAATGACCTTGATTTGTCATTATATGATAAATTGAATGTATATAAATAATTATTTAGCAAACCACATTAAATATAACAGAAAAAGAATTATGAATTAGGTGAATTATATACAAATATGAAAAATATGAGTTTACTTGTAGTAATTGGTGTTTGAAGTGCTCAAATCTACAACATATCTTACTTGGTTTTAGATCACTGGATATTATGATAATTATTATATATATAACTGTTATATTACATATAATTATTATAACTGTTATATTAAATATAATTATTATAACTGTTATATTAAATATAATTATTATAACTGTTATATTATGTATAACAGTTTAACGAAATTCAAATTATAAATAAATGACCTTAATATTTAATATCTTCGTAGACCTTCGTAGACCTTAATAATATCTTTCCCCCAATCCTATAAATATTATTAAAAATTATACAGGATTAAAAAAAAGAGGCGAGAAGAAATGTCCAATTTTAATGATTTTTAGTTCTCACATTAATTTCATTGTTCCCACCATCGCCGCACAATTCATTATGTTATATAGGGATTCGAGTCAGCATATTCTTATCGTAAATATACAAAAAAAAAAACAATAATTTCAAAAATAAACCCAAATTATTTGGTCGATAATTTAATTTAGTAATCAACCCTTTTTTTCAATAAAATCAAATTATCACCAATATTATTTTCTACAATAGTAATCAGATATTTTGATAATCTTATATTAATTGTTATATTTTCAGTTATTAGTTGCCAGTTTTAATAATAAATATGCGGGTACGAAATTATTCCAAATATTACTTGCATCTTCATTAATCACTAATTAGAAGGACCTGGTGCGTAAACGTATAACAAATGTGATTTAATGAGAATTTGTTGGAATATTATACATAATTATTAAAAATATATGTAATAGAACGTCAGTTAACTATTTGCTCACTTGAAATGAGCATTCAAAAATTTTCTGTGTCTTATGGCGCTTTGTCATATTGAGAATACTATTGGTTTTAAAATTCGTTTTTAAATAGCTGAGCTTGCAATCCTTTCTGAAATTCGACTTAAACTGTTTATAGAGCTTTCTGCAAATCGTACCGTTTATTGGTGAGTTTAGAAATAGGCCGGCATAAAAACATTGTGATATTCCCCATGCTTTTCTAAATTCCCCATACAACCACCACGGATCCCTTTTGATTCATTTGCTTCTACTTAGTCATTCATTTCCAAAATGATAAAATCCTTAATTATTTCAGGAAGAAAATAAAAAACTATGTTATTTCGTTAAAAACCCGTAAAAAAGAAAAAAAAAAGCGTGCCATAAATTAGTAAGCCGAACAAAAAAAAATAATTTTTTTTTTTTAATATTAAAAAAAATTTTCAATTTATTTCCATTTGTTGTTATTAATTTGTTCAATCGTTTAGAAGTTTTTAATTTCATTTTATTCCTACTTAAATATATTAATGAATATTTGCATCACAAAAATTTTGACGTATGACAAGACAATATATGACAGACGTCATGAAAGTTTGACAATATTCGGAATGTCATCTGAACTGAAATTGTATTGAAAACTATATGAGAATTTTATTCTACAAGGAACGTTTACAAAAGCCTATTATTTGTGCTTAAATGCAGGCAATTCCTTTGACATTAAGCTGTCAAATATTTCAAATTTTATAAGAGCATTGCGCCTATATGTATGCAATATAACATATAGAGGCATAATTTATATATATACCATAAATATTAGTTTTTGCAAAACTCTTTGAAAGTTGTATAGGTAGTCAAAACTTGATTTGACGTAAGCAAAATTCTCGCACTGGTAAATGAAGATCAGAAGCACTCCATTTCGAAATTCATTTTTCCAACCCCAATCCTATGATTTTTTATTGTTTAACTATAAATTTTATATATGTATTTTTGATTTTTGATTTTTAATGCTACACGGAATCAAATTGAACATGAACGCTTCTCTCACACACATTTTTACTTATAACACTATCAACTCCCTTAACCTTAAAACCGCACAATTCTCTGTTTTTTTTTTTTTTAATTTCCATGTTTTATTTCTTCCACTATATATTTTTAATATTATTATAATTTTTTTTTTTGAAATATAAAATTGGCAGCAAAATTATATTTTTTTTTTTGAACTCGTTACGAAGAATGACTAGCATAAAAAATTTTTTTTTTTGATAGCATGATGACTGACTCCGATACGATGATGATAGACAGTTTTGTTTTTTTATTATTTTTTGAGTTTTTCATTTAAAAAAAAAAAAAAGCGCGTCTAAAATTCTAAAAAGGTGGTTATAGAAACAAAAAAATAAATGAATGGGCAGGAAAATGAAAATTTCATGTATAAGAAGAAGAAGACATTAAGGGAGAAGAGAGAAAGTTGCAGTTTAGTTATACTTACATTAATGGGAGGAAAATTATAAGGAGAGTAAAATTGGAGAAAAAAACAATAATATTGTATGAGTAAATATATGTATATAGTAAAAATATATGTATATAGTAATAGTAAAAGTAAACTGCGCAGTATTGCCAAGTCATGGGAAATTTCCCATTTTAAGAGAATTTTGAAGTTTTGAAGAGAAAAAGGCCAAAAATCGTGGGAAATTCCATTAAAATTTTATTTTCTCTAAATTTAATTTCTTTTTTTAATTTTATTCGTGGCAAAATGCTTTTTTGACACTGAGTCAAAAATAAAAAGCTCTATTATTTATTTAGAAAATCTTTAAACTGATAAAGACAATTTGAAAGTATCTATTTGATTAATCATTATCAATTAAGTTATACAATTTAATAAAAGTAGTAATTTAATAAAAGGGAAATTACATAGAAAAAAATGGGAATTTTTGAACGAAGCCTAGTAAATTGATCAAGAAAGAGTTGGCAACACTGAAACTGCGTTATATGACAACACAACGACAACAACAACAATAGAAACACATAATTACAATTTCAACCGTATTCTACCATGTGTTCAAATTTATACTCGTGAGTCGTATATATTTTACGAGAATTTAAGAGGTAAAGAGGTGAGTAAGCGGTGAGACTATGAGAATATTTATAGTTTGGAAAAGGAGAAATGAAAATGGGGAGAGTATTTTTATTTTTTTTTATTTATTTTTAAGATTTCAATCTTTAAAAAATTTTATTTAATTTTCTTTCATTTTCTCCTTTTTATTTTGTAATAAACGTGTAATCATAAAAAGGTGATCATTTTTATTTAAGTAAGACATAACTATTACAACTATTTAAAAATGTTCAGGTGTCGTAATTATGACTTTATCATCAAAGACGATTACTACAAGAATATAGAAAAAAAAAAAGAGAAAAAATAAAATAAATAAAACCTATCAGTCATGCGACGTTGATGCAGCAATGATTACGCGGCTCGTATAAATACGCAATTTAAACATTTTCTTTACGGCTTAATTCTCTTATAACACAAACTGTTAAAAAAAAAAAGAGTAATTGGATTTTTAAGCATTGCAAGCATGTTTTCGATTTTAATTTTTCTAATTTTTTTTTTTTATTTCGTTTTTCTTAATAATATTTTTTAATTTAAGAATTATAAATGGATGAAGATGAATTAGAAGATTTTCAGTTGTTTAATTGCTACCGAATTTAATAATTTATTTTAATTGAGTAATTATTTTTGATTTATATGACCAAATTTAATTTTGAATTTAATTAGGAAATGAAAGTTTTGATTTAGTTTAAAAAATTCCGAACGCGCATCCAATACAGCTCTCATTTTAATTAAGAGGCAAGCGAATAAGTGACAAATTTCGAAAAAAACAAAAGAAAACAAATAAAGAAGAAGAAGGTAATGTTTTTCAAAAATATTATGAAAATTGAAATTTTGAAGAAATTTATATTTTGAATTTTCCAGCTGAAATCGAAACGTACAGTGCCGAATTTTGAAAAATACACTTTCAAGAATTTGAAAGAGCATTTAATAATTCGAATAAATTAGAAGTATAGATTAGAAGAATAGATTAGAATAATCTCAAATTTCAAGATTTCCAAGATAAAATTCTGTTTTCAGAGAAAATATTGCAGTATACTTGGATCTTTTATTTTAATCAAATGTAATGAGAAAATCGACGTACAACGTTTTGATAATGAATTTTACTCTTATTCAAATCCATTAATAATTAAGTATAAGTACGTGCGTGACCCTTAAATCTGAAACACAATAATAAGAATATTTAAATCTATATGTGAGTAAGTATATAGAGCTGATTATTAGGAGAAGAAAGTGTAAGTATATTGCCTTCAATTTAATCCTCTAAATTTAAAATTTTATGATCTTTTACAGAAGAGAAATAAAATCTCATTTGAATATCATTCGAAAACATTTATAACAAAAAAAAAATCTAATTTTTTAGAATATCGTTGGTGTCTAATCATTTGTAATTTTACACACACAAATATTATTTATACCTGAAAGCTATAAATTTTTTATTGCTCCGATTCTTATGTTATTCTACTCGTAATAGTTTTTCAATATTTATTAAGATTATAAGAATTAAAAACATTTGAATGGGTGGTCTGTTAGAATCTAAAATAAAATGAAAACACATCCCAGAGCCTAACTCGTTTATTCAATATTAGTAGGCAGAGAAATTTCAAAGGATATAATTTCCTTTTCTTTGTGGAACCATTGTTGATTTTATAACTACTTGTTCTTGAAATACTACTTATTTTAAAATACCTGTAGCAGAACACGCCGATTTTGAGATTTTAGAATAAAAACATGGGTTGTACTTAAGAAGTCATTAAAAATGAAAAGTGAATAAAATGTTGTTATCCCTGATCTTATGTGTTTTTGATTTTATTTTGTATAAATACGTTCAATATTTTAATTAAGAGAACTGTGAAATTTTATAGACTCGTGCTATCTAACTATGCAGTAGACTATTTTCTAAACCCATTTATATATGGGTGTGTATGTATGTACATAATGTGTTAACGAAAATGTGACAATTTAAATGAAAAATTAAATTTCGATTTAGCACAAATATTGGAAATCGGGTTCACGTTCGGGAAAGCGTCTTATTTAAAATTTTATATGATAAATTATAACAACAGTTATTATTAAAATTATTAAATTTTTTCATAAATCGAAAAATAAATTAACAGCGAAAATATAAAGCTATTTTATTATATAGATCTAATTTACATATTTTGAATTGTTCACAGCGACATCTATTGAATTTTTGATATTATTTTAAAAATTTTTTTATTCAAATTTGACACAGGTGACATCTATTTATAGTAATTGTAAACTATTGAATAATAAATTAATTCTGTCGGACATAATATTATTACTGGCCCTCTATTGAGAAATATCTAAAAAACTAATAAAATTTTGTCAACGAAATTGTACCTATATATATTTAAATTCCGACTTAATTTAATTTAGTTAACGTTAATAAATGATAAGTTAAGTGGAAGTATAAAATAAATCAAATAAGGAGAGCAGAGCGCAGAGAAAACCATATTAAAAAAAGTTTTTAATATGGAAAGAAAGTTTTCCTTTTCATAAACAATCCGACATAATTGAAATAAAACTATTAATTCATAAAAAATCCGCAATTCTTACAAACGATCTACAAAGTGAGCGACATCTAGTGTCCACTAGTTAATATTTTAAAAATGTTTATAAATGTTGCTCAACAATTGTTTATTACCTTTTTATTTACATCTATTGCTAACAAAGCTACGCTAACTTATAACAAATTTTTAATTTTTCTTGATAAAGAATCCATATTTTATTTGCTGCAATTTTAAATAGTTATTTAAATGTTTATAGTTGTTAAAAATTTATGAATTATTAAAAAAATATAAAATTATATAATAAAGATTTGAAAAAATTGTAAAAAAGAAATGGGTAAATCACGTTCAAGAAGCCGTTCGCATTCTAAAAGGCGTCACCATAAAAAGCACAGGCGGCACGATGATATAGAAAGAGATTCAATTTCAAGGTAAATAAATATTGAAAAATGTGTTTTTCTAGTATATTTAAATTTAAAAACTAGGTCGGTAAATACATAAAATATAAGAGTAGATTATTAAAATGGGAATTTTTATTGAAAACTTGAAACCTCTCCCCTAAAAAAAAAAAAAAAAAGTGTCCAAAGTAGGCTTCGTAAATATTGATTATTGATTTTTTATTCTTTTTATTTTTATTTTTTTTTCTTTTATATACAGAGAACATTCACACTCACGTAGATCACATAATAGAGCTAGTCGTGATTCGAAATCCAGGTAAATAGTATTTTCTTAATTTAAATTTTTATGAAAACACTTAAAAAAAAAAAATATTTTTATGATTGTTTTTAATTTTGAATGTTTTTAGAAAGAGGTCGGTGTCTGAATCTTCCTCAAATAGTTCATTGTATAATAGTGATATAGATAGCAGGCATAGAAAAAAACATAGAAGTAAAAAATTAGATGAAGTTGAAAGATTGGCTGAAATGGAACGTCAGAGGAGACAGAAGGAAGCTGAACAAAAGGTAATAATGCAACAAATTAAAATAGGATAATTTCAGAAGAGCAAACATGATGTACAAATCTTATGTTAGTGTGTAACAATAAAACCCAAAGGATAAACATGTTTTCGCCTCCCTTATGCTCATTGCTGGTATTCGTATATTTATTTGCAATTAAAAATATTTTATCCATAAATTCACCGATGTTGCAATAAAGATAAATTCCAGATGTGAACTTTTCAATAGCCGGTTTATAAACAATTTGTTAATGAATTGAAGGATCACAACAAATATATTAAACCTTAACATAATAAATTTATTTCATATATTATTAGATTTATAATCAAAGATGAAGTTATTGAACACGTGCCTAATTTTTCCATACTACAAAATTATGGTGGTTGAATATTTTACCATAATTATTAAAGGACAATATAATATATATTAATTATAAAAAATCTATAATCTTTTTAGTTAGAATTAATGATCTTATTCATTAAGAAGAACAAATATAAATTATCAAAATATTGTTTTTTATGAAAATTATAAGAATTTAGTATTGAATTTCAACGGCTTTGTTAAGGCTTACAATTTGTAATCAATCAACAATTTTCATCTACGTCTTCATTTTTCGACATTTAAAATACAAAATCTGAAACACTTTGAAATGAACTCGAATTCCGTAAGGAAGAACCATTACAGCATTTATTCCACTATTTTTATAAAATTTTCGTCTCTTTTACAAATATCTTTCTTAGTTTTAAAATACAATTAAAATTTCATTTCAAGTTTATTCATCAATCTGACTTTATTTGATTGGTGTTTAATTCATCTGAGTACAAGTCTAATATTAATTTTTTTTAAATTTAATTTTAATATCTTGATATATAAATAATATAGGATTGTACACTAGTTAATAATTTTGCAGTGAAAAAAATTAATTAATTATTTATAATTAAAATTAATTAAATAATTTTCTTTTTAGATAATTGAAGAAGAAGCAGCACGACGAATTGAATTTCTAGTTAAAAAACGTGTAGAAGAAGAATTAGAAAAAAGACGTGATGAAATTGAACAAGAAGTTACAAGGCGTGTTGAAACAGCTAAAAAACAAATGGAACAAGAAATGATGCGTGAATTAGAAATAAGACGTGAACAAATAAGAGAAGAGGAAAGACGACGTGAGGTAGGTTTTCTTTTTATATGTTTGCGTCCCCTATCCCTCCCTACGTCCTCCCCCCACACACCCACCAAATTATGTCTGTATTCCTTAGCAGTTTTGTAATATTTATTTTATCAAATGAAAAAAAAAAAAAAAATCAAACGAAAACTGTACTGCTAACCGAATTTATTATTAATTCATATTTTAAAATCCGTCTTTTTTTTTTTTATTGAAAATTTTTTTTATAATTTATTTTTAATTTATTTATTTTTGTACAGAGATACAATATTTTTCTCAATAACGGATATTGTTATAGTTTTAATAATTCTTTTTTTTAAGTAAAAGTAAAAAAAAAATTTTTTAATTGTTATTTTTTTAATTTATTTTTTATTTAAATAAAAGTTTTCCAAAAAAACAAAAAAAAAAGAACAATACAATTTATATTAAAGCTTTTAATATTAAAAAAAATTTAAAATTTAGCAAGAAACGAAAAAAAAAAGGCGAAAGTAAAAAATAAAAACCAAAAGTAAACCTTTTTTTCTTTACCTTTAAAATAACAAAAAAAAATTATCCTTAAATTTTTCAAAGCACTTTTTTATATACCAAATATAGAGACATTAAAAAATATATAGAAACCAGAAATGTAAAGACAATGTGCCCACATTATTTATAATATAATTATAAAAACAATAATTATGTCGCATTGTATATATATATATATATATGCATATATATATATACGTACATTATATATACGTACATTATATATATATTGCATTATATATATATATATATCATAAATATGGATATCATACTGATAAATTGTGTAAATGTATAATTTTATAGTTTTTCCTTTTTTTTTTTAAATTAATTAATTAATTAATTATTTTAAATATTTTCATGTATTTATTAACCATATTAAAAGTATATAAATTATAATATTAATACATAATTATTTATTTATATACAAATATATATATTATACAATATATTATTTATTTTCTTTTCCTTATTATGTATTTATTAATTTTTATTATAATTATAGTAAATAACTATATATATATGCTTTTATTTTCTCTTTTTTAATTTTTTATTATTAATTTTTATATTACATAGTATACGAGTACTTATATACATTAAATACATATATATTCTCGGATATATACATATAAATTATATATAAATATATTAATATTTAATTTTACTTTTCTCTTTAAAATTTATTATTTAATAGCCATACATACTTTATTATAAATATTTATATTATATAATCTTTTGCATGCAAAATATCGCAAGCCATATTCAAAAAAAAAAAAAAAATTTTTTTTTGTTTAGAAATTTCCTTACTTTAATAATAATTATTAATAATATTTAATGAATAAATTAATAACAAAAAAATTTAAATTAAAATTAATAAATTTAGCAAACACAAATTCCAAAATCCAAAAAAGAAAAAGTAAAAAAAAAACATATTAAATGAATACAAAAAGACTGATAATTAAAAAAAATAAAAACAGAAAAAAACAGACTCAAAATATGCTTTTAAAAAGGATTATAAAACAAAACTCCTTAGGTTTCCAGTTGGAAGCGTATACATATACAAAAATGGTGCAATTAAAATTTCAAATTAACTGATGACTTCAAGTAAGAAACCTTAATGTTAGGTTGTTTTCAAATTTGAAATAATAAAAAAATATTTTTATTGATAGGTTTACATTTTTTTTTTTTTTTTGTTTTATTCCTTGGTATTTTTGGGGAATATTTATAATAACTATTAAATATAAATAATATTATAATATTTTTTTTTTCTGTCTTATATTTGAGACGCTCAGTATATTAGTGGCCTATTCAATATTTTTTTTTTTTACAAAAATGAGTTATTATGTTTTGATAGAGCTGTAATGGCCTTAAAGAATTGTTCTATATTTTCAAAATATTTAATTTACTCCTATTTTCATTCTATTTTTGACATAAGTTCGTATTTCATTATAAATTGCAATTTATTCGAAATGTCATATGTGGCAAGTGGGCCACTAATGTACCGAGAAGCTCTCATTTGTAAAAAATAATTTAATTAATAATTTAATTAATTAATTTATCATGAAAATAATGAAAGGTGAACAAACAAATCAAAATTTATAGAATATTGAATTTAATATTGAATTTAATTCAATTTTTAATATTAACATAAAAAAGAAACAAAAAAATTTAATGTGGCGGAGCTTTGTTAATTTAAAAAACAAAAAATAAATAAATTTGTTGTTATTGCCCCCTGTTCCCCTCCCCTACTCCCTTCTCTCATATTTTTTTTTGTATCACTTTAATTAATTTTTTTTTTTTACATAAATTAAATAAAAATTAATAAATTTTAATATTTTAGCTAGACTTTTCTATTTTCTATGTAATAAAAAAGTAATAAATTAAATTTTTATAGGACCTAAATTAGTTAATAAATCTCAAAAATATTTAAAATATAATTCAAAATTCTAGTTTTATAAAATCATTAAATACAATATATTTTTTTCATATTCATTAAGATTTGAAAATTTTGAAAATACACGTTTCACAAATTTATTTATTTAGTCATTTTAGTTAAAGAAAACAAGCTTATTTAAGAAAAGAATAAACTATTGAACCCCCGCTCCCCCCCCCTCAAATATTATAAAATTTTTCACCTAAATCTATTATATTAGAAATAATATTTTATTTATTTTAATTTTTTTATTGTATATAATATTGTTAATAAAAGTTTTTTTTTGTTTTCTACACATATATAGATATTTATAATATTATATTTAATATTTTAATATAACAAATATACAATTTAAATGAATATTTTATTTAATGAAATTTTATTGATTGTAATTAAATAAACAAACAAAAAGAAAAAAGTAATGCTTGTGCTCGCTTTAAAATTAATTATTTAATTAAAAAAAAAAAAAATAACAAAATTTATATTGTATGTATATTTGCTTATTATTGATAAAATATTAAGAACATTTTAAAAAATATATTTTTAAAGACATTGAAAAATTTTTTATAATATTTATTATAAACATTTTATAATTTCAATATCTACAATTTGTAACAATGACTTTTTACCGAAATTAAAGTGAAATTCAAAATGATTTCAAATAGCCGAAAATAACCGAACTCCATTTAGAACAGATTAAATTTAATTAATTAGATAGTGAAACTTAAAATTATTTGCCTTGCGTCTAGAAGAGGTCCACTGAAATATTTTTTTATTTTTCGAAGTTATACACGAATGCAAATTATATAAATACAAAAAAAAAAAAAATTAAATAAAAAATATATTGAAAAATTCAATTAACAAATTTTAAAATTTTTTTTTTGTTAAATATTTTAATATTTTAAAATATTTTCTTTTTAATGAAAGTATTTTCTTACATTTATTTTTTTTTTTTGTGTGGTATTTTGTTTTCCAATATGCGATTTTTTTATTTTTTTTTTGTCTTTAAATTAATATGAAGGTATTCTCTATTTAAAATTAATAAAAAAAAATCTTATTAAAATTAAATAAACAAAATATAATTAACAAAAAAAATTTTATGAATTAAATAAGATGAGATTTTTAATTTTATAGATGAATACCTTCATTTTGAAAATAATAATATGTGTTAAATGGAATGAATAATATATTAAATTTCTAGGTCTTTCTTATAATATTGGATGATAAAAAAAAAAATTGATATATCATTTATAAGTTTTTATTATTATATATAATTTTTTAATTTTTAATTATTGTTACTCTCAAATTAATTGTTGAAAAGATGTTGGACTTTATTTTTTCTTTTAATTCTTAATCATTAATGTATTTCAATTGTGAATTTTAGTTTTCTCTTTGAAATTTTGAGAATGAGAGAATCCCGAGAGAATAGAATGACGAAATGAATAATTTTTTTAAAATTTGAAATTTTTGTTTATTTATTTGAGAGACTTGTATTATACAAATATTATAGTTTAGGGTATAATATAATTAAATTAAAATTGTTTTTACATAAATTTTATTTATAATCCAAAAAAAATAAATATTTTTATTATTAATTTTCATTCTTTACTCCATTTTTTTTTTGGAATGGATTTTTTTTTTCGTAATATTGACCGATATTTTTATATATTGTAAATGACATAAGCAAAATAGGAAATTGTTTTTTTTTTCTGTATGTAATATGAAATTGTTGGGAAAAACATGAAATCTTCTACAACTATAATACTTGCCTTCTATTAATACACTTACATTATTACATTATTTAAAATTAAATCGATAGAGGTTGTGGATTCAATAAATAAAAAAAAATAAAACTCATATACTTTAATTATCGAAAATTGAATGATTTGAAATATTTGGGGCGATTAAAATATAAACGCAAAATTTGAACGAAATCTCGTGATTTTATTACATGAAAAACAGACAATTTTTAAGTTATTTAAGCAAAAACAAAAAAATAATTTAAAATAAATATTTTATATCTATTTATAATAATTATTATTATTATATAATTAAAACATGATATATAACGGCGATTTACAGGTATTATTCAATTATTCATTTTCTTTTGTTTAGAAAATTAAAAAAAAAAAAAAATAAAAAAAATTTAAATAAAATTAAAAAATTAAATTTTTTTTTTTTCTTTATCATAGTTTTTTGATTCAAATAAAAAAAAAATAATATTATATATATATATTTTGTTTTAAAAACATATTTACTTATTATATAAGATAAATATATATATTATTATATAAAAATAGTGCTGGAGATGAACGTAAAATTATTATCGGAAAATTTTTGGAAAAAAAAAAAAAAAATTTATAGTTTTTTTTTTTTTTAAATAATTTCATAGTTTTTATATTCTGTTTTTCCTCAGCATTAATTTTTTTTTTTTTTTGATTATTTTAATTTTAAAATAAAATATCATTCTTATCAGAAGTCTGTGGTCTCTGTCATTGTTATCACAAAAAAAGTGAATAAAAATTAAAAGAGAATGATAAACAGTTATGCGTTATTCATTTGTTTTTGTTTTTTTTAATGATGACACCGGATTTCTTTAGCAGTGACATTTGTCGTGAAATAGTGAAAAAATGTGTTTCAGTTATATTCAAGTTGTCGTTCTGTTACAATTAAATTTCACTTGAAATGTATTTCGATTATTTATTGCACCCACGTCATTCGGCAACTTGAAATACTATAAATTTTGTTACGATGTGACAATGAGAACGACAAATGTCAAATAAGTGACAGGTGACAATTTTAATAAGGTTCATTAAATTTGAAATTTTGATAGTCACTTAATAATATTAGAAAACAGAATTAATTATTTTTTTTTTATTCTTTATTTCGTTTATTATTTCAAAATAGACACAACGCAATTTTAGTCTTTATAAGCTCTCACACACATATTTTGTAAATTATAATCAAAAATTAAATAATTTTATTTAATATAGTAGATAATAAATTGCTTTTATTCCAAAACTGTCTTTTTTGGCTCATTAATTTTTATTTTTCATTAAAATAGGTAAAATATTTAAAAAAAAGCTAAAAAAGTGATTATCACAATTTTGAAAACAATCAAAATAAAATATTAAGATTTAATTGAGTTTTTATTTTTTTTTCTTTGTTTTCTATAAAATTATATATTTGAGCTATATTAATATAATTAATAATAAGCTTTTAATATAGAATATAGTTATAAATTTTTATTTAAATTAAAATATTTAAAATTTTCATATTTTATTAATAAAAGAAGCTTCATATATATTTTTATTATTATAGAAATATTTTATAAAATAATTTTTTTAAATTTTTATTTTTTTTTTAAATTAACCATTTTCTTTAGTAATATTAATAAAATAAAAATAAGGCAATAAAAACATAAAAAATTAGGGATTGCAAAATTAGAATTAAGAATTTTTATAATGATAAAATAAAAATTGAATAAACAAAATTAAAATAATATTTTAAAGCTTATTTTATATTTTTATATTTTATTAAATATTTATTATTATTTATTATTTTTTTATTATTATTTATTTTTATATGTATTATGTATTGTGTATTTGAATTATATAATATTAAACATTGTTATTTTATTGTTATTTTTTTTTCTTTAAATATTTTCAATAAATTAATTGTGAATTTGCGAAAATTCACAATGAATTATTATTATTAAAACAATAATACATTTAAAAAAAAATAAATAAATATGTACAAATATATTATGCAAATTATTAATATTATTTATTAACAATAATCATACACACACCGAAATAAATAAATAATTTTGTTTTTAATATTTAATAATAATTAATTTAATAATAACTTTAAATATTATCATATAGAAAAATATAGCATTCGCAAAATAATAATTTATAAAATTTATTTTCAGCCTATTCTTTATTTTATATCCATTAAATAAATTTCCCTCTCCTATATGTAAAAAAATTAATTTACAAAAAAAAAAAATCTAATTAAAAATAATTTTAATATTTAATCTGTTTTTTTTTTTCTCTCTCTATTTTCAATTCTATAAAATTTTGCAATTCCTATATTATTAAATTAAATTATGTAATTTTTAAATAAAATCGAAAAAAAGAACCAATCCAATATTGAATTTTTATAATTTTAATTTAATTTAGAAATTAAATTATATAACTAGGAAATAAAGTAAAATCAAATAAATATTCTATTTAATTCCTATAATTCACCATTTTTTCACCGAAAACAAACTAAAATTATTAAATTTTAAAGAAATAATGTAAAATTTAAAATTAATTCTGAGGTATTATTAAAATTTTAATTAAAAATAATCTTAATTAAAAAAATTAAATTAAAATCGCACAATATACAATAATTATAATAAAATTATTGTTATTATAAAATGACTGAAATCGCAAAAACCAAAAAATAATTTTTCGTTTATCTCTTGTATTTTTAAATAAAAAAATTTACATATTTTAATTTTTTCTTTTAATTTTTATTTTTATATATACATATTTTATTCGTTTTTTTTTATATATTTATTATAATTTTTTTTCTTTAATTCTATTTTCCATATTTTTTAGCAAAAAAAAAAAAATATTGTGAATTTTACCAATATTCTGTGTGTGTATGTCTTTTTTTAAAAAAAAAAACCAAGTTAATAAAAAGAAAAATACTAAAAGGAAGTGGAAACAAAATTAATTTTTCGAATTTTTTTACACAAATATTCAAATAAATTCAAATAGTTTTATCATGTATGACGTAATTGCCAACTTGTCAAATTCATAGCACTCGATATGTATGGCGAACGAATTTATTCGACAATGTTTTTCACTCAATGGCAGTATTTATAATAAATTGAAATAGTCTTATCATGTATGACGGAATTACCAACTTGTTGAATTCTTGTGAATTGCCAAATTAGGAACAATTGATGTTACGTATGGCGAATGAATTTATTCGACAATGTTTTTTATTCAATGGCAGTATTTATGCAATATATTTTACATTAAATTGTAACACTAAAATTCTTCCTACTTTTAATAAATTCGTATATTCACCTGATTGTATTTTTTTTCGAATTTGCAAACAGATTGTAACAATTTAATATTTTTTTTGGGTATTTGAACAAATTCGTAAAGCGTAATTAATACCAAACCATTTACAAACGCTGGCAATTGTTTTTGGCAAATTCGTTACACATAATAAACCTATAAATTTGAATTTAGAAAACATTCTTACACATAATATCATAAAATGCAGTAAAATATTAAAAATTGTATATTTGGGCTTATATAAAAAAAAAAGTGTTACCCTCTACTTTTAATATTGCTGTAGTTTTAATATTGTTTTTTCTTCCTTTTAATTTTAAAAAAAAATATTGTGTATTTAAATTGCAAAATTATGGTAGTGTCAAAAATAATTTAAAAAAAAAAAAAACATATTAAAATATGTAAAAATTTTTTATTTATTATTTTCTAAAATTAAAAAAAAAAAAAATTTTTTTTTTAGTTTGCGAAAAAATACATTCATTTACTTTTTTTTTTTTTTGTTCTATTAGGATATTTAAAATCTTTTTTAATATTTTTTCAATTTGATAATATTTTTGTTAACAATTTTTTCCCTTTTTTCATTTCACGGACCATTTTTATAGGAAGAGGAAAAGAAAAAACGTGAAGAATTGGAAACAATATTAGCAGAAAATAATAAAAAAATAGAAGAAGCTCAAAGGAAACTGGTAAGTTGAAATCAATAATTTTGTCCAGTGGATTACTTTTTTTTTGGAAGCATTTTTTTAATATTGTAACTACGTATACTTGAAATGTTGCAACGACGTAATTTATTGATAATAATTATTTATTATCATAAAATATTATTATTATTTATTTTAACATATATTATTATAATTAGCTTTATCATGAATTCCGTTCGTAATTCCTGAAATTCGGAAATTTATACGAATTTTATATAATCTATTGTGAATTACTGAAATTCTACTTCGAATATTCGTAATGTTAAAAGTTTACAAAAGAAATAATACGAAAGAATAACACGTGATAAGCAGTTTAAAGAGAATGGTCAATTTAAACTTTTAAGTTTTTGAGTTTTTCATAATTTTTTATATAAGGAGAAAATTGTAAGTATTTATTTTGATTTATAGTATTCATTTTACATGTAATATATTTGAAAGGTCAAAAAGCAGAACGAGTCATGTTCAGTACGAAATATTAGTAGAATTGCTGTAAGAAAATCCCTTTATTTACCAAGAAGATGTAAATCGAAATTGGACATATGATGGACGTATTTTTCTTTGAAAAATTTTCAAGCAATCACTCATTCAGCAAATCAAAAAAAAAAAAATGGATTTTGCTGAGTGCTTCGTCTTACAAAAAACGTAAGAACTACGGCAAACCTGTTTGAAAATCGGATTCAAATCAAAAAACTTGAACGAAATCTTTAAGCGAAAATTAATGGATTGAACTTGAGGACTAATACACAAGAATTATTCAAAATACATTTTGGCATTTTTGTCAACTGTCGTCTAAATCGAGAGATTTCATATTTGCTAAAAACCTTTTTACTTTTCAAAAATATTCAAAAACTAAAAACATAAAAAATCTTTATTGTACAAAAGTTGTTTGACATAAATATTGGTTGTTTGAAAATAAACATTTGACTATTGAAATAATATAGACTAGACACTCCGAAAAATTGTCGTGCCATTACTGATTAATAATCTCTTCGAGTGAAATTTGTATTCAATCAAAACTCGCAATTCGTAGGTATTTTACGAGTGGAATTCATGATAGTGCTGAATGTCTCTGATATCAAAAGTGCAACAAGTTCCTATTATACTACATAATTCAACTCTTATAAAAGTTGTATAACACTTATAAAAGTTGTATAACACTTATGAAAATTGATTTGTGTAGTGAATATGAAGTATCACTTCTGCATTTTGGATGTCAGAGTGTGTTTTTTAGTATTTTGGGATAGAAATAAAACAAAAAAGAAAAACAAAAACGACTAAGCTAAAAATTTGCTGTTGATATTTTAATTTTTTTATTGGATTTTGTTTTTAAGAATTCATAAAAATAGAGAAGTGATTAATCATTATATAAATTTTATAGTGCTGTATACTATTAATATTTGACTAAATCATTAAAAAGAAAATTAATGTTAATTTATTGTTAATTAACAAATAAAAATCAAATTAATTTTATAAAATTTTATCGATGGAATGGGGGCAAAAAACCAAAATGTGCTAGAATTTGGTTACTTCATGGCGTAAAATAAAACTTCTTAGTGGTATTTTAAATTTTTGTTTTTGTGATTTTTTTTACCTTATTTTTAATTTTTTTTTTTTTTTTACTAAAAACAATCTTAGCAGAGCAAATTAATTTGCAAAATGAACTCGAGTTATAATAATTAAATTAAGCTCATCATTATTAAAATTGATATAAAAAATTTGCAAATACAGAAAATTAATTTTTTTCCTATTTGCATATTTTCTGTACAATTCTAATAACAGTACAAAAATTTAATATATTTTTTATATATTCATATTATATTTTTAAAAAATATTAAAAAACTAAAATTAATAAAAAATTTTTTTTTTTTTTTTTTTTTTTTTTTGTTTAAAAAAACAATTCTTAATTTTTAGGCCGAAGAACGTTTGGCAATTATTGAAGAACAAAGAAAAATGGATGAAGAAAGACAAAGAATGCGTAAGGAACAAGAAAAACGTGTTAAAGAAGAACAAAAAATGATATTAGGAAAAAATAATTCCAGACCGAAATTATCATTTTCTTTAAAGCCTGGGGTTTCATAATTATTTTGCAATCATTTTAAAAATAACATTTTTTTCAATCGATACGAGATAATTTTGATGACTTAAGTATGATAATTAAGAAGAAGAGTGTGTTTTTTTTTTTTGTTCTATTCTCTGCAATACACACACATCAATATTCGGAAAATATGAAAAATATAAAGATAAAAAATGCTATTCTAATATTAAAGAATAGGAAGTAATCAAAAAAAAAATAATAATAATAAAATTAATAAGAGTAACGCTTGATGCCTTTTTTAACGTTCGTATCTCCATAAAATACTATTTAAATAAATAAAGTGTAAGCGATAATGTAAAATACGCATTAAATTCTTTTGCATCTCAATCGATATTGCAGTCAACAAAAGCATATATGCAATATTTGCATTGTGACCGATAATACAAAAAAAAAAAAAAACAAATGTTACGTAATTAATAATGTCAATTATTGTCAGTAATATTGTTAATTTTTTTTGGCACCTTTGTTTTAAAAAAATTTTAACTGTTGATTTTGTTTTTTTTGTGCAAAATGGAATATTTTGAGGAGGATAGGTTAATTTTATTTAATGAATACTATTTCTAAAAATATTCAAATCAAAATTTGTATTCATGAATGTTGATATACGTAAGTTGATATACATTGTTGATTGCCGGTTGTTGACCGTCGGATGCAATTATTGTCGACTGATATTTGACATTATCGATTAACACCTTTAATCATTTTATTTAATAAATGATTTATGACTTTTAAATTTATTCTATATTCTTTTAATTTTTGATCGTAATAAAAATTAATTTTTTTAATTAAATAATCTCATGCCTGTATAGCTAAAGATTAAAAATTTCATTATTTCTATTAATTTTAAAAATTGATTATGATTAAAAGTGAGAATATTGTGGTAAAAAATAAGTAAAGCAAAAAATTTTAAAATGCGGTATTAATATAAGTATATTGGCTTATTTATTCCATATATATCAGAAACTAGGAAATTTAATTAAATCTATTAAAATTGAAAATGATTTTGATATGAAATTTTAATAAATTTTTTCTTCTATATTTAGTTCTCTAAACCTCAAAAAATAATTATATTTTCATTTACAATTTAAATAATTGTAGTATAAACTTTAAAATACTCTTATTCATTTAGTGGTTGCAAATTAACAGGATATCAAAGTTATTAAACATGCAAAAAAAAAAAAATGAAAAAAATAATTAAAAAACAGAAAAAAAAAACCAGTAATAGTAATAATGAGTGTTTTATTTTCTTCTATCGAAGAAAATTTATATTAAATAAAAATAAAAAACAATTTTTCATAAATTGAGTAAAAAATGAAAAAAAATTAAACAAAAATAATTAAAGCAAAAGTAAAATAGATAAAGCAATTTTTTTCTAGATTTAAATTGAACAATATTACAAAATCTATATTAACTTTAAAATATTTATTTAAATCGTATTTTAAAAATAGTTAAAAAGTTATAAGACACAAAACAAGAAAAAGAAATTTTTAAAAATCAAATAATGAAAATTAATTTTTTAACTATAATCGTTCTCTATTTTTTTTTTTTATTTTAAATTTAAATCTACAGCGATAATATTTTTAACATTGAAACTATCTAGAAAAATTAATTAATTAAACGATCAGTAGAGAAGTGCTTCCAGTGCTTGTTTTTTGTTTCCTTTCTTAAATACCGAAATTTTTATTTTTAATTTAACAATAATTTTATAAAATTTTATTTAAAATTTTCCTTTTTAAATCTTTCAATAATATTTTTTTTTTAATTAAACACCAATTTTACTATTGATTCTAATTCTACAATAAGAAAATTTTATTATATTTTTAATTTATCTATATATATATATATATATATATATATATAATAAATATATATTTAATAATATAATTGTGATGCATAAATATTTTCTTTTTATATTAAATTTTAATATAAATATGTTCTATATTTGTATATATATATATACAAAATATGTTTAATAATAAATAATATTTGATTTTTTTTTCAGTTAATTTAACAAAACTAATTAAAAACAAAAAAATAATATATATTATATTAATTAGTTTTAAAAATTTTTGAAAAAATAAGTAGGTTCTTTTTGAAACTATATAATTTATAATTAAATAATTTTATAGGTTAAAATATAGACGTCTTAATAAAATACAAAAAAAAAAAAGTTAAAATATTCAAAAATTAAAATAATAAAATAAATTGTGTTTTATTTGTAATAACCATATTAGAATAATTGTTGAAATAAATAAACTATAAACTAAATTAAAAAAAAAATACTTACCAAACATAGTAAATGCTTTGAGAATTGTTAAATATTGCACATTAGTTAGATACAAGATTCCTCTGAAAACACTAGCTTAGAGTACAGTGTTCATATTTAATAAGAACTGTTTAAAATGAAATTTAATAAACTGCTTAAACTGTAATTGCTTTTAAAAACGTAGAACAGCAGCGTTTTTGAAAACTACAACTGCAAGTAAAACATTTTAGAAATTTCAAGCAATTATGCATTTTCAATTCTGTATAGCTGCAATAGTTTAAAACATAAGAATATAAAATGTTTTAACTTTTAAGAAATTTTTTAATTTTCATACGAAAAACAAATAGAATAATGACAATTTCAATTTATTACTAGAAAAGCATTTTCGAAAATGACTTAGCGAAAGATCTTTTGCTATATACTACTGAACAAACGAAAAGTTTTTTTTTAGTTTTAAGTTAAAAATGGACATACGTTCCCATGTTTCTAGGACGTTTTTTAAAGATCCTATACGGTATTATAGATTAGCATGCAAATTGGTACTTCAGGTGATTGAAGTTTTAAAATACTGGTAAATCTGAATATAAGAAACATTTGAAATTCCATAAATTTCGTTCGTAATCCACAGATTTTTCTCGTAATTTATAAAACTTCAATATTTTTATTGAAATTTTAGTTTCTAAACATAAAATTTTGACAAATTTCTAAATTAATTTTTTAAACTTTCATAAATAATCCCAGACAATTTGACAATCAAAAAAATAATAGAAATTTAAAAATCAGAATTTTATGAAAAAAATTAAAAATTAAATTTAAATTTTTATTATTAGAAAATTTTACGTAGCTGTATAAAATGTTAATATTTTTCGGCAATTTCAAATAATTTTAAATACATACGTGCAAATTAAAATTAAATTAAGGGGCCCAAATTTTTAATCAAAGAAAAAAAAATGAGAATTGGAAAAAAATTTCATTATTCATCAATTCCATCTAGTAATATAGTTAAAGACCAAATTACTAAAGCAAAAGTATTTAGTCCAATTGATAATATGTTAGAAAATCTCAATAATCAACTGAGAAATCTGCAATTAACATTAGACGATAGAAAACTACCAGCGGATTGTAATGATAAAATAGAAGATAACCAAGAAATACTTGAAAATAATAAATTAAATTCAAATTTCTTTACTTCTCATACAAAATTAATTAAAAACGAAAGTGGGGCATTTAAATATTCTCCAAAATATAAAAAATATAAAAATATAGCAATTAATGCTTGTCAACAAAGAAAAATATTTACATTATTTTCGTATATGCCAGGAATAAGAAAATCATTAAAAGAACGTGGTTGGATTGAAAAATGCCCAACAAATTATATGCAAAAAATTCAAATGTTACCATTTGAACAAATATTACGTCTTGCTGAAAATGGAAATGAATATGAAAAAATTATTCTTTCAAAATTATTAAATTCTCATGCACCACAATTTATATGGCAACCAAAATATCCTAGAATTAATTTAAAAAATAAATCATTTCTTAATCCCATACGAAATCGTATATACAGATCTAAAGAATTAGATTTTACAACAAAAACTGGTCTTATAGGATGCATACAATTATCATATTGGAATATATCATCTGATATGTGTGATGAAATAATGGTACCACGTTATTTTCTTTTAAATACTAAAGAAGAACAAGATGGTAAGATAGCTTTTTTGTTTTAGAAAAAATTATGGTCGAAATTTTAAAGTCAATTTTAATTGGAATCTCTTATGTTTTCTTTTCTAGAATTTTTCAATGATTATAAAACTACATATTGTATAGCTTTGTTATTATTTGTAACAGAATTTGCATCTGAGACTTGCTTTAGTGAATATGGTACAATACCAACAAATATTCTGAAATTTGCAATAAAAAGAATTAAATCTGAAATTGATCATAAAATAAGTTATGATATTGATGAAAATGAAAATAATTCAAATCAAATTTTGCAACCTCCAGAAAAAAATTGGCAAAGATTTTTTCTAGATTGTGATTTAATACAAGCAAATATAATGAAATTTAATATATCTAATGGAAATGATTACAAACAATTACTGGATGATTGCAAAGATTGTATTGATCAAGCAAAATTATTTTGGCCAACTTTAGAAGTTGATGGTTATAATAATATATGGATATTGAAACCAGCTAATAGTTGTAGAGGAAATGGTATTTTAATTGAAAAATCATATAACGAAATTATTGAATTTGTAAATAAGAATCCAAATAGAAAATTTATTGTTCAAAAATACATTGGTAAAATAGAAATTTTATTTTATTTTATATTATTTTATTAAAATTGTAACAATTATATTTCTTTCTTAGAACGACCTTTACTCATTTATAACACCAAATTTGATATTAGACAATATTTTCTAATGACAATTACTGATCAATTTATATCAATTTGGATGTATAAAGATTGTTATTTAAAATTTAGTTCACAAGAATATGATATTCATGATTTTAAAGAATCCATTCATATAACAAATAATTCTGTACAGAAAAAATACCAAAATTCATCTACACGTAATCAAAAACTACCAAAACAAAATATGTGGCATTTAAAAGAATTTCTTTTATATTTAAAAGATGAAAATAATATTGATGAAGATATATGGTATAAAAATATTTATCCAACTATGAAAAAAAATATAATTTCAATTGTATCAGGATCATTAGATGAAACTGAATTAATACCAAATTCATTTGAAATTTATGGTTGTGATTTTATTCTCGATAAAAATTTAATACCAATTTTACTTGAAATCAATGCAAATCCAGATATGTCAGCATCAACAAAAGTTACTGCTAAATTATGTCCTCAAGTATTAGATGATTTAATAAAAGTAGTAATTGATTATCAAAATTTATCTGAATCAAATACTGGAGAATTTGAAATAATTTTCAGAATAAAAGTACCAAAAGTACCTTTACCAATTAATTTATCAGTAATTGGAGAAAAGAAATCAATTTTAAAAATTAGATCATATGATAATGATTTGAATTATTTGGATAAAAATTTTTCCAAAATTTCAAACGATAATAACATTTCAAATAAAAATTCAACAATAGTAAACTATTTAAATAAAACAAGAAAAATACCAATTCAAAATTTACAAAAATCAAAAAGAAATAAATATAATAGAATCCAAAAAATGAAGAATAACATTAAAAATGAAAATAAAGAAATTTATTCAAAACAATTTAATAATAAAAATGAAATAAACCATTATTTAACCAAGAAATCTCAAATTAAAAATGTATTTGAATTTCCAGAAATGAATATGAAAAAAGTTGATAAAACATTTAAAAATTTTAAAATTCGGAATTTCGATCATGAAATAGAAAGTAAATCATTAAATTCAAATTTTCGTAAGAAAATATTGGATTCTAGTGAAAAAATTGCTCTTACACTAGGTTCATCATATCCATATGAATTTGTTAAAGAAAAATTAATGTAAAAGTTAATTAATTAATGTGAAACTTCAGAAAAAGTGACGTTAAGGACCAGCATTATTAATTTCAAGAAGCTAAGAAGCTGTGATAAATGTATTTAAGGTGAAGTTATGTGTTAAAATTCGATGTTTATAAAATTCGAAATTTTATTGCTACCCTAACAAATTAATGCTTTGTTGTCGTTCAGAGTGCTTTCCAGTTATAAAAATAAATTACTTAAACTAACATTAATTAACACGAACTAAAAGTAAACTAACATTAGCAAACACTAATATTTTTCATGCACAATTAATTAAAAATTTACTCATTTTTAATAAAATTTTTCTTGTAGAATATTTTTTACTCTAATATCAATAGTTTTCAAATATTTAGAAAATAAATAATAAAAAAATTTCTTTATCAATATATATACATATATTTATAAATACATGTACATATGTATACATATTAAATATTTTATATAACAGAATTAATTATATAATTCGCAACAAATTTAACAATTTAATTTAAATACAATTATTGCTATTAATGGCAAATAAAATTAATAATTTAGGTAATTAAAAAAGGAAGAAAAAAAGTTGGAAAATTTTAACATCTTGTGTTAATTCTATCACTTATATCTGATGATACTTTAGCAGATATATTCTTATATAAAGTAGGTTTTTTACAAGTTGAACACCTTCGGTATAAATTTTCTTCATTTTTTTTTCGAACCGGGCTTATTGGTGGTACATATTTAGATGGGCTTGCACTTTTGCCCTTAATCATATTTTCATCTTTAAATTGTTGTTTAGTTCGCCATGTTCTAATGTTGAGCCCTAAAAATAAAGAATATTAATATGTATTTATTAATATTAATATTAAGATTATATAGGTTTGCGATGGATTATTTGAACGTAAATGAAATGTGAATGTAGTAAAAAGTAGCTATAATTTATATCTTTTCAAGGAATCTTACCCTTATTATTTCTTATTGAAGGTGAAGATTTATCATTATTTGCACTAGATTTTCTATTAGAAATTCCACTTTTACGATATGAAATTACAGCACTACTACCAATAACCGGAGATGATTTAGTTTTAATACTTGATTTAACAACTTTTCTTATTCTAGATGTACGTGGTTTACATAGTACATCAAATATTTGTTTTCTTTTATTTGGTGTTATTGGTCTCGGTGATGGTGTAACAACTGAATTTCCTTCTGATTCTGGTAAATTTAAATTTTCCATACTACATTTACTACCAATACATTCAATACTACTATCAATAGCTGCATTATTCGAATTTATTATATTTAAATTTTCTTTATTATTTTCAATTTGATTATTATTTTGACGTTGATAACCAGATAAATTATCATTATCATTTTTTTGTACATGTGGTATTATTTTTGGACCACAACTTAAATGTCTTTTTGGAGCTTTATATTGTAATTTACCTTTTGATATATTTTGATTTTGAGCTCTTGATTTATTACTAAGTGTCGGTTCAAATAAATTTTGTTTTAAATCATTAGAACGTTTTTTTATTTCACTAGAATTTGAACATCTTGGTGATATTAAAAGTTGTGTTGATGATCTTCTGGAAGACTGTGGTGTTGTTAATGGTGTTAATAAACGTGTATGATATGCAACATTTCCAAATGAATTTAAATCAAGCATAGTTAATGTATTTATTGCTGAAGTTCGTATAAAATTAAAATTTGATTTTTTCAATACAGAATTTGATATTATATCACCGGCTTTTTTAATAAGTGTTTCATCATTTTCATTATCATTATTACGAATACTATTATTGTCTATATCATTTAATAAATTACTATTGGAAGACTTTTCATTTTTATTCTGTTCATTATTTCCATTTAAACTACTAAGTATTTGTATACTTGGCATTGATTTTCTAGCTGAATATAATGTTGAAATAGCTGTTGGACGATCACGATTAGTACGTGTTAAATATGAATTTTTCTGAATAATTTGTTTTCCTTTTAATGATAAATTTAAACCCATATATGCTGGTGTCGGTGGTATTATTTGCCTATAAATGCATTCAAAATTTCCTGTATCAGCTTTAATATCATAACGTCTATCGATTACAACTAAAATTTGTAAAAAACAAAATTGATATTGATATCTAAATTTAAAAACCAATTCAATAATATTACCTTTGATTACATCTTCTAAGCATGCTGGACACATTCTTGCTGTAACACTTGTTGTTGCACCTAAATCTGGACTAGAATTAATTTCTATTAACCATGGATTAAAATCTTCTGATATCATAAAATCAGCACCAAATAATTCAAATGTATTTGTTCTACGATCCATACTCTCTTGTGACGCCAACATAGTACCAATAATAGCTTTTTTCATACCAGGATATATTCGTTCAGACCACATTAAATGTTTTCCAATCTATCGAATATAAGATATAAGAAATTAATGTATTTTTTGCTTTTATAAAATTTAATATTATTATTAAGAACCTGTCTAAGGTACGCTTGAAATGAATAACAATCCCACATATTTTCCGATGGAAGTCCTTAATTTAAATGAAGAAAAGAGAAATAAAATTAAATATTTAAATGATTGCATTTAAAAAGTTTTAAATATTATACTTATGTAGTTGTAATTAACTTACTTTTATCACGTTTTCCGTTTTTATATTTCTTTTGAATGGCATGATTTGTTAAATGAACTGATTCATGATGATTTGTTAAATTATATTCTTGAGAACTAAAACGTAAATAACATTCTTTATACATCCATATAACCATTGGTTGAGTACTAGTTACTAAAAACCATTGCCTTATATCAAATTTTGTATTATGTATTATAAGAGGTTTTTCTGCAAATAATAAATACAAAGATGATTATACATACATATATATTTGAAATCAACTGTTCACAAATTAATCTATTGAATCTATATTATTTTATTTTAAATTTAAAATAATACCAAATAAATGTAATAAATTAAAATCATAATTCTGTTCAATAAGTTATTTGTAAAGTAATATAAAGATCTTATATCTCAGTACTTATATCTAATTAGTTTAATTTTAATGTTTTAAGTTTTCTTACTTTATTCCTAATGTAATCAAAATATTTAAATCTAGATTCATTGCCAATTAAGCTTATTTGAATCATATATATGTATTGCTGAATGAGTCAAATTATTGTTAGGTCATTCAGTTGCATCCGAACATACCTAAAGAATTAAAATATGTACATAGTCGCCTTGACATTAGTGATGATATATTATATCTGCATTATACAATTCAACCATTGTGAGCTAGTTATAAGAGCTAAATTATGCAGTAAGTTCAATAACACTCTGCGTATTTCGACATTGGAAATTTTCAATGAGTTTCGTCTATATTCAAAACAAATTTTGTAAATAAAAAATTATTCCTGGTTTTACTAGTTCTTACAAAAAATTATTTAAAATGAATAAAATTAATGAAAACAAACAATTGAAAGCACGTTTTCAATATTAAATTGGTTATACTTGAATGTATATATGTTTATACATTGTATATACCTATGTCATAATATCTACAGATGTATATTGCCTATACAAATATAAAAATATAGGTACATTTTAACTCTTCACATATTATTAAAGTTACAAAACACGTTGTTTATTAGTTGTAATGATTGCTTGTAATACATAAACTAACTACTTATATATATATATATATATAAAATATAGTGTAGGTATTTTTGAATTAAAAAACATAATTCTATTTTTATTACATCTGTTTTTTTTTTGGCGAATTATAATAAAATCAATACATTAACATCATTTTATTTATACATTTATTTTTTTTTTCATTCTTATATTTAGATTGAAATATATAATATTTAACAGTTTTTTTAACTGTTATACTATTTGTGACGTTTTGTTCATAAAGTGACTTTAAATTAAAAGAAACTTTAATACAGAGAAAAGAGCGTTAAATTATATATAATATGTATATAGTTACAACTGGCGAGTATGCACTTAAAAGTGCGAGTATTTCTAGAAGTGGTGACAACTGCACCAAAATTCGCTAGTCTTTTAGGAGTAGGGTTTTGTGAAAGTACCAACAAATTCTGGCATTTTAAATTTTAATATTTTTCAATATCAATGTGAATAATTTAAGGCTTTATGTGTTATAAATTCTAATATTACATTGTAGCGACCTAAAATTTACTTTAAATAAAAATCGGATTTAAATACAAATATAACAGTCTTGAATTATTTTAGATTTTCGGATTTATATGTATAGTAAAGTTAATAGTAAAATTATAGTAAATTCATATTTTATGCAAGCATAACAAGTGGTATAATTAGTACGGCCTCGCAGTAAGAATTGTACTTATTTTGAAAGTTAAGTTCGACAGGAACTGATTTCAGATTCAAGTTCTATTGCGTTAAATTTTTAAATATTAATTTAATTATTTAGTTTTTCAAACAATTTAAACCTATACATATTAAAGTTGAACTTTAAATAATGAATTTTTCAAAAAATTTATTCTAAAATAATTTATTTTTATACATTTTTGTAATATTAAATATATTTTCCTTGATATTATAATTTCTTGGGCCTTCAAATTAACTACATAAATACAGTTTTTATTCAAAATTTTATTATTATTATAATAATTTGAAAAATTTTTGACCTTTCCTTGCAGATATAATATTATAAATTGGCATTGATATATGAATATTAAAGGCAATGAAATACACACAATATAAAAAAAAACTGTAACGCGCAAAAAAGGACATTCAAAATTGAAAAACATTCATTTTTACCTTACGGTTATCAAAGTCAACTATGTATATTTTTATTTTTGTTATTTAGTCTATTTTACTATTATCCGTTTTATTAAAGGAAGTCATGTGATTTCTAATTTTACAAATCGTTTTTTACTTTTATTTTTCTTACAACTATAGTACTATTTTTTTTTTCTTTATTTTCATTCTTCTATTGTGTTTTATTGCTTTTTTATTGCAATTTTACATATTTCATTAAAGAAAACTTTACTTTTCAAGAATGTTATTTTTAGAAAATACGGAAGTTAAAAATTTAATGTACACATGTTTGCATGCATATAGTATACCATCTATATGTTTACTTACACTAAAAAACTTATAATAGCACATAGGTAACCACTTGAATATTAAAAGTTTTGTATAATATGGTATGTACTTTAAAAAAAAATCTACATATTTTTTGGTTTTAATAGACAAATAAGAGGAATTACACGCAAAAATTATAATTTTGAATTTATTGTGTTAATACAATTAAATGTACACATGTTATTTTAGTTAATAATAATTGCAAATAAAAATTCTTTAAATTTTGTTCGCCTTTTTTTCAAGTTTATTCCTTATTCAAATTCTCTATAATTTAATTTATAGGTATTATGAAGTTTCAACATTTACTTAAGGTCCCTAATTTGTTCTATAATTATACATTAAAATGGTATTCTAGATTCTAGAATTAATTTGCTATAAGATTAGTTTGGTTATTTTTGATTAATTTAATTCAAATATTTAATTTCTTCTCTTTTCAATTTTACATTGCCAAATTTTATCAAATTATTCTTGCTTGAATTTCAAGATTTGCAAATAAAAATATAAGTAGCAAGAATTTTTGAAAAAATTAATAATTTAAAATTTTAATTTGATTTCTAGAAATAGGCAATAACCATTCGATTGGGAAAATTATGGTTTAAATAAAATATACTTTGTACCTAAAGAATAACCCTGCCTAACAAGTAACCAGGCAAATTGGAATTAATCAATTTGATTTTACAACAATATTTGTTAATTTTTATGTAACTAATACATTTTACCTAACAAGTTTCCCGATAAAAATTATTAAAAATAAATAATTTTGTTAAAAGGATACTGTATCATTAGTAGGGTCTTCGTCTATCTTTGGATAGTAATTATTTACTTGGATTAGTTAATTATTTACTCATTTAGAAATACAGTATTATTTAACTTTATACAAATTTTATAATTAAAAAACAGCTACTGTTAAATTTTTAATATGTATATAATACAACTCTTTTATATATGTAAATCATATTTGGAACATAAAAAACCTTCATTTAAAATATTCTTGATATTCTTTACTAGCAATTTAATGTTATTTTAATTTACTTATCAAAAAATATCTACATATAACCAAATCTTATATAAGTCTGAACATATAATTTTTGCTTGCTTTCAGACGTTTCTTAAAATTCTTATATTTCTATTATTAAAATCTTACATAGCTAAACTACTTAAAAAATTATTAACAATCGATTATAAAATCAATATTTCAAATATAAATATTCCAAAATTTCATGTATTTCCGTGTTAAATAAAACTATTATATTTGATACTTCATAAATATTCTTCCTTTTTATAACCTTCTTCCGATAAATTTGTTAATCTTTTAAAGGTTTATTAAAGTACATATTGTATGTGTATATTTTATGGGTAGTTATTGACCAATTTTATTTTACAAATAAATTGCAAATATATGTAAATTAGATATTTCTGCTAAAAAACCCATTTTGTCTATAGTGTAGGTAAAACACTAACCTAAAAAAAAAATAAAAAAAAACTAAAGAAATATTATTTTAACACCTGCTCATAGTGATTTACTATCATTACAATTTTATGATAAAAATTTATTGAATTTGGTTTTTCTATTTTATTTTTCTTTCAAAAACTTTTAACAAAACTTCCATTTGCTTGAAAGAAAATAAAAATAATAAAATAAAATTGTTATTTACAGAAACCTTGATCCAGATATTCTTTTTTTACATACGTATATAATGATACCAAAAATAGATTTCATACATATATGTAAAATGAAATTCAATACAAGTTAACAGAAATGAAAATTATGTAAAGAAAAAAGATAGTAAGAACCTATCTGTATACAAAAAACCGAATAGAAAGAAAAAACAAAAATCCTTACCAATATATTTTTGTACAACATAACGACTTTTTGATGCTATATTTGGATTAACCATATTTAAAACTTTCTTCAAATTATCAAATATATGTATACCACGGCCACGGCATTTATTTGCTGGTTTAACAATCCATAAATTTAAATAACCATCAAGATTATATTGTGGCCAATATTCTTCTAAACCACCTACTATTGTTTCAAGTGTTTTCATTGTTATATCAACAGTACGATTTGGATCTGATAATATACGGCCATTCTCTTGTGTTATTAAATAATGTTGTGTTAAAAATGCATCAAAATCATGTTCCCATATACGTACTGTTTCATCATTATCAATATCATTATGATTTGATATATCTAAATATTCACTACAACGTTTTATTGCAAAATCTATAGCTGTAAATGGGATTTTACCAATTGATGAGAATATTGCATCAAAACCATTTATACGATATTTATCAACAATCCAACGTATAAATGCAATACATGCTGATAAACGAAAATTATCAATAAATTCTGATAATTCTTCTGGACTCCATACATTAAAACATCTTGGAAAATATAATTCTGAAACACCTTCCTCATAAAACCAATGAAAATCTTTTAATGATGTACATAAACCTTCTTTTGATGTAAATGGTATCCTTTGAAATTTATTAATAATCATTGATGGATTTTTTGCTTGATCAATATAATCACATTTCTCTTTACGTGCTGTCCATAAAAAATCAATTGGCATATGTTCTAAAAATCTTGACATTATATTTCTTTCACATTTAATTAAATATTGACGACGTGTTTCACCTGGTTTACGTTTTGGTAATGTTTGTGCTAAATCTTCATATGTTATTTGACATATACCATTTGGTACATGTTTACGATGTGCATCTAATTTTTCAACCCAACCACGTGATGTTAATGCATTACGTATTGAAAAGAAACAGCCACGTATTGTAAATGTTTTATGATGTTTTAATGCTTCTTGGGCTCTTTTTCTTAATTCATTCATACGTTCAACTGATATCCATGTTTTACGATTTGTATATTGTATTTGTTTTGATATTTGTCCAATACCTTCAGATGTATTACATGGACAATTACTTTCTGGATTTGATGAACAATATGTATCGGAACCTTGAGAACGTAATACTTCTGGTATTCTTGATTTTATTGTATTAATATCATTATTATCATCATTATTTTCATTATTATGATTATTATTTTGATCTGGCTTTAAAAAATTATATGGATATAGCTTTTTTATATTGTTGCTGTTGTTATCATCATCATCATCATTATCAAAATTTTCTTTATTTTCTGTATTCTCTTCACTTTCATCATCATCATCATCTGAACAATCTGAATCAACAATAATTTGTACATTTGATTTTGGTAATCTACGATGAAAACAATAACGTGGACTTGGAGATGGTGTTGGTGTTCTTAAACTTAATTTTGATGTTTTACGAACTTTTGGCGATGGTATTGGACTTGGTGATGGTGTTAAAGTATTGTTATTTCTAATCGATTGATTGTCAATTTGATTTGTTTTATCCGTTATTGTTACAGTTGAAGCGGAAGTTGTTGAATTTGTTGACGTTTTATTTATTTCATCTTTTGTTTTATTTATTTTATTACTTGCTGAACCATTACGTGATGCTGGCTTTTTAGTTTGATCCAATTTATCAACCATAACTTCTTTAATAAACCTTTAGAAGGTTTTTGAAATAAATTAATTTAAAAATGAAAAATTTATTAATTATTTTTTTTTTTTTTACAAATTTATATTAATTATTTTTTCACTTCATTTTTTTCTATATTCTCTTTTGCTCTCAATTTTATATTTATTTAACCTTTCTCAATAAATCAGAAAATTGTAATAAAATTAATGACTGATGTTTTTTTAATATTTTAGATGGAAGAATTTCATGTCTTTTAATTTACTTGAATGATGTCCTACCCCAACATTAAATATATTGAAGAGAATAAACAAAACAAAAAAAAAAGAGAATATCATAAAAAAACAAAAACACACACACAAATTCTATAAGAAAATTAATGAAGAGAAATAAAATAATTTAAAGAAATAAAAATCACACGCTCTTAATACAAAAAAAACTTTTGAATTTTCCGTGAAGACGAGTTATCTGCGTGATTGTTGAGCAAAAACTAAAATAAATAGTTCCCAATTTACAATTTTATTTTAATATTTCCTTATACTTATTCTCTTTCATGATATTATACAATATAATAGGTATGATTGTATGAACAAGAATATAAATTATATTGCAAACTTAACTGTATACTAAGCATTATAACAGTATTCAATGCATATACCGATGTACATATAAAAAATCGTTGAATATAAATTCAAAACTCATCATTTATATAAAAAAAATGTAAGTAAATAAAAAATAAATAAATATAAATCAATAAAAAAGAGTTCACTAGGCATTGAGGCGTATTGTATAAGGTGATAGATAGTTTTGTACAGCTGTATTATGAATTGGTATGTACAATTTTTGTTTATGCATAAAATCGCTCACCTGTCTTTATACCAACATGTATATATATATATTTAATTTACTTTTATAACCTACATTTAAAGAATAAAATTAAAATCAAGTCAAAAGCATGTATCCATGTATGTAGGTTTATATATTGTGAAGGCATTATACATGGCATCTACGAATATATTTTGTAGTTGTTGTTTTCATTGTCTTCTTTTATCCTTTTTGTTAAAAAAATAGTTTTTTTGCACAATTTATTCTTATTTGATTTTGAAAAATAAAACATATGTACATACATAGATACTATGTTTTAAAAAATATGCTAACGTTTCATTGCTTTACATAGGAAACTAACAAAATACAGTTGAACCTGGAAATAAGAGAAGTATCAAAGGAAATACAATTTTTGTTCCGCTCATATAGGCCATAGTACCTCGTTTTTTTTACTTCCAACATGTAATTTTAATTCTTTCCTTACATCAATCTTCCTTTTGCAACGCAATAATTTTTGCAGTTGCACATACATGGAACTAAAACACACTTGTAAAGGATAATATTTATATTATTTTTGGTTTGACGTTTTATTTCCTTTATTTCGTGTTTATATTTCGAATGTGCTTCATTATAGCTGCCAATATTAAATAAAATCAATTTGATTTGTTACTTTAACATGGAATCACTGATGTTCGAACAATGCTCTCAATGTATTTATTTAAACAATTATAGAAGTTCTGGATTAGTGACCGCTTGTCGCTCCGAATTTTCTAGTCTTATTTTTGTTGTGCTTCTATGCCAGTAAAAATTATCGAATTTTTCGAGTTTCTCTTTTAATTTGTTTTGGTTTCCGATTCAACACACAGAAGATCATCAAGTTCAACCTAAAAAATTAAAAAAAGAATTAATATTTTCTGACATAACTCTTATGATTAAGTCACTGATTAAAATATTCAGCCTAAAACAGTGAATTATAGTGATCAAAAAATTATAGTTATCACATTTAAAGAGTACCTACTAAAAAAATTTTTCTCTTAAAAAATTTAAGAGATCCGGAAAATAATTTCGGATTAAGTTCACCATCTATAATTCGAATAATTCTAATCCAAGTTCAACTGTACATAATATTAACTGTTCAAAATTTTATTATTACCGTTATATACAAAAGAAGAAGATATATACGTGAATCTATTTTATATATTATGTACATTATATAGGAGTTAGTGTATATTGTAATGAGCATTAAAGAATAAAATGAATTGCTTTATGTGAAATTTGATCATGATGGATATAATTTTATTTACATATTTTTATTATATTATTTAAGTTATATTCTTTTAATGAAATTTTCTCTGTTTCTATATACATACATATATATTTTATTTTTTAAAATCATTTTTTTTATTCGTGCGAAAAACTTGATTTTTTTATATAAATTCTATATGTACAATTTTAAGGAGGAATCGATGAACTTTTTATGTTGTGGAATAATATTGTTTCTTATAAAGTATCTTTTTAAATTGTGATAAAAAGAAAATTATGATAAATAAATTATATTTGTAATACAATTAAATTTATTCTTGTTAATTTTCATAATACTATATAAATAAAATAGAATTTTAAAAATCGAAATTTCATTTTAAACAATTACAGAATCAAATAGTGGAGCGTAACAATTCTTTAATTCAGTGCGGCTTATTCCAAGAATCACATCATTAAGTAATAGTGATATTTATCGTATAAATTTCGATATTACTAGTTGTAAACACAAACTAATTCATATAAAATGTTTGTGTCTACAATTATACATTTTTTAAAGTTTTCACGATTATTTATTTTATTTCTTTTAATTTATATTAGAACTAAGAGTTATTAGATTCTCAGAATATGCTCCTGGGGCAAGTGTTCAATACGATGATTAAATCAAAGCAAATTTAATTTATCTTTCGAATTAGGGAAATTATACTTTGGAGAGAAATTAATTCAAGCAATTTATTTATGTTTTAATAACAGGGAATCTGGCACAAAATTTCAAAAAAAATAATTTATGTACCTAAATTATAAAGAAAAAAATTATTCGAAATTAAAAGAATTTCGAAATAATTTTATTTTTAAAAAATTTCAAAAATTTTTATTAATTAAATTTAAAATTTACCATAATTAGTTAATTATATAGTTTTTCTTTAAAATATTTTAAATTATAAAGTTGAAAGAATCTTTTTAATTTTTTTAAGTATACACAGTGGTGCATGTTTTAGGTTCTATATTTTAATATTCTTAAATATTTTTTGTCTTTTCTTATTTCCTTTTAATTTTTATAATTTCTTATTTCCCTCAATTTAACCTACTTTTCAAAATAATGAAATTGCAAAAATAAAATATACTTAAATACGTATGTATGTATATGCATTGTACATGAATATTTTTAAGAATAACTTGTACATATATTTTTTATTTATAATTAAAAAAATCAAAAAAAAAAAAAAATTTAACACAAATAACATATTTTTGAAGGACAATTCCAATACCTTATAATAAATTAAAAAAAAAAAAAAAAAACAAAAAAACTTCTCACTTTTTTCTAAAGGAATTTGTGGTATTTTTTGTTTTTTTTCTTGAAATTCTTAAAGCTCTAATATATTTAAACACACAACACACAACATACAACATACATAATAATACATTATAAGTTTAATAAGGAAGTTCCAAGTTTAATGTTTGCATGTCTTTAATAATATAATAAAAGAAAAAAAAACTGAAGAAATTTATAGAGTTCGCAAATTCACTTTTACTCGAAATAGCAATAATCCTGGTACTTTTTGTGTAACACGTGTGTATGTTGAAAAAAAAATTAAATAAATAAATAGGAAATCCTTCTAAAAGTAAAAAAAGAAAATTTTAAATAAAGAAAATTTATGGATAATCTTTAAATATTTTTACAATATAATTAAAAAAAAAAAAACCTTTAATAATAAAATAAAAGTTGTAAATTTTTCACTACATTTTTTATTTTTTCTTGGTCACATTTCGTTCAATGTTGAAATTGGTACCAACAAGTATATTTAAAAAAAAAAAAAAAAAAAAAAAAAAGTACACTGTTGAAGAATTTTTCTTCTAAATAAGCCAAAGTGCTTACTCTATAAAAGGTTTATATGGTGTTTAAATGAAATAAAATAAATATTACATATGTGGGTTTTGTTAAAAATTTTTGTCGTTCTTATTTTTCTTCTTTCTTTACTACAATCCTGGGAGCCTAAGATATCTACAAAGCTCCGACATCGCACTTAATTTGGATCATATTTGTGACTTCTGCCCACATATAGGTGACTTTTTTTGCGGCCCACATGTAGGAAAATATATATTTTGGGACTTTCAACACCTCAATTGCCAACCTGGCAATAGTTTCAGGTGGACGTTTCAACATACGCCTAATCCAACCCCATTTTCTTCTTTTTATAGCTATTGCTATTTTTTCTTCTTTAGTTAGGGACAATAGTTTTGATTTGATTATACATTGGCGCCAGTATATTTTGCAGATGACACTTAAACTCCTATTTACAGGAGCCTACAATTTATTTTTTATGTCTTTCTGTTCCAGCCTGTTTGTCTGAAACATATAAGAGGGTCTATTTTATATAGCATCGAATATTGCTAGTTTTTTTTTTTTTAATATGTTATATCTACTGATGATGCCCGTACTGATGTGGTTATTACACTTCCAAGATAATCAAAAGTTCAATTGATGTTGAACGGGAATAAATTTATTTTGTCTATCCGGAGCCATTTCGTTTTATTGAGATTTATTTTGAGCCCTACCTCTGCTATTCTTTAGTTTTGTTTGCATATTTGAATATTTGTGGTCTAACAGGGCAATGTTATCCGCATATTTCAAAGTTTCAAGACGGTTCATTAGGCTCTATTGTATTCCTTTGAGTAGATATTATTTTACGCAATAAGTTCCTTCAGAACCACATTGAATAGCAGGTGGCAGAGTTGGCATCCCTACTTTATACTAGTTTCTATTTGGAATTGCTATTCCATCAATTACTCGCATCAAGGCGAGAAATAAACTACAATTTCCTTTAGATAAATCATTAAAATATCAGTTTAACGGTCGGTTCAATCGATCAAAAATATACTTAATACATTTTTTATACCATTGGATACCGTTATATACAGTTACAAAAACAATGCACAAGAAATATATTTAAATATATAGGTATATATGGAATTTGCAATAAATTATTGTTATTTTAAAGGATTTTAATTTAATTAATTGACCTCAATTTTAAATTGGAACAAAACTATATACACACACTATTCATCAAAATTTTTCAATACAAATTAAAGAAAATTATTTTTTTTTTTAAATTTAAAACTTAGATAAGATTTTATATAATTAATTTTTTTTTTAAATGTTGCAGAATGAAGGCATTGTGTAAGTTAAAGTTCAAATAGATTAGATGCAATATAAAAATTTAACACACGTGCATACATTACGATTTGAATGTATGCACCTGAACTGGAAACTTTAATTTAGATAATGTTGTGTAGATTACTTGTATAAATTAATTGCAATATTATTCAACTTTTATAGCACGGTAAATTAAATATATACAGTAATAGAAACCGTAACAGAAAGATAATGCCAGTACATAATATCATTATAAAAGCTTGCTATCAATAGAAAAAAGCTATAATAAATTTCAAATTTTAATAATTAGCATTCTCAATTCAAATCAGTGTAGGAATTAATATTATAACAAGCTTAAAAATCACTTATTTTCTTAAACATTTTCTAAAGTTTATTATGGCAGTGGTTTTGTTCTTCACATATTTAGAACTTAACTTTTGCACTGTAACTCGAATATTTCCCTAATATGATTAAATATTTTTTGAAAGTGTATGACAGTTATCATATAAAGTCATACAATTTCAATGAGCTTTTATCGAAAATAAAGCTTAAGAGCTGTTATCGAAAATAATGGCCAAATTATTTTATGCATTTTTGCAAAATTTCAATATTGTAGATTCGAGGATATGACCGAATAACTTTTGAAGTTGTGTATGATTTATCACTAGAACGGATAGACGGACGGAATGGCTAACGTACAATATAGCAAAATAATAATTCCTCGGCTTAAATAATTGCCTATAGGAAATTAAGAAAACGCCCTAAGAGAGACAGACTAAGAATAACTAGCACTATATTTTATTAAACACACAAGTCACATTATATATGGCAAAATATTTTAAGTTTACATGCAATTTCTACAATAATTTATTTCAAATCAAGTTATACGTTGCTTGTATTTTTATGATTCTATAATATCAATATAATTACAGGCTCAAGTTATGAATAATTTATTGAATATAATTTTAATTAATTATTATAAAGTTCAATTAATGTATATAGCAAATTGTAGTATGAGCATATTCATCATTTAATTTTTTTTTATTCAAAGATTTTCTATCGTTTATATTAATTATTTTGTATAATTTAATTTAAATTATTTGATATTTTTTTGCATTTAAATTAATATCAGTATAATTTATTCATCTGTGTATGTAAAATCCACACATGATATTATAAAAAGATTTGTAATTATTTTAAAGAATTTTTAGTTTCATTTTATAAAATTCTCTGTAATCAGATATTAGAGTATTAGACTATAAGCAAGTGAAATCTACTCCTGTAGGGTAAACGTTGCCGTTGTTAAGCTTTTAAACTGTTATTTAAATAATTTATTCAATGTATGTTAATTTTAATAGTACCTATACATACAAAATATTCTATATAAATTAATTGAATATTTTATATTATAAGTACGAGTACTTATAATTTATTAATCTTGAAATAATTGCTATCTATTATTTAATTTAAAACTGGAATTGAATTGCTTCTAACAAAATCTTTGTTAGAATAAATAATTATAGAAAAACTATTAGAAATGCTCTCCAAGGACGCTAAAAGAAGTTGTTTTACAAATAGACACAATAATTCACATCCTACATATATATAGGAAATAATTACACTTAAATATGCTGAACTGGAAATTCTAATTAATTCATTTTTTTAATATTAGTACATATTAAAAGAGAAGTCATAATTTTTGAAATAATTTTCGGAAAGCTTATTTTTTGTAATCTACAATTTCTTCTATGTTTGGTTCTAAATCAGTGAATCAGTTCTACATTTCACTTCAATAATAAAGGAATAAAATTTTGTTTTGAGAATGATTTTCATAACAATTTTTTTAATTATTTTAATAATTATTTTAAAAAAATTAAATAAAAATTATAATTTACTAGCCGGTTGTAGACGTATTAAAAATGTTGATGGTACTCCACTGTATGGTGTTATTCCATCTTTAACAATATTCGGAAATAATTTTGATCTAATTAGTTTAGATGAAGGTATTAATGTGTTAATTTAATTTGAAAAAATATTATAACATTACAGTGAGATAATTTAAATTTTTTGGATCTATAAGAAAAATTTTTTTTTTATGTTCTAGATTTAAACCTTATTAGATCACAAATTTAGTATTATTATTAAGGTAGTAATATTAAAAGACTTTGCTAAGAACTTGCCTAATTTGATTGTGATGAGAGCTCTTTAAAATTAATAATCTCATACAGAGTGTGAGAGAAAGGGGAATATATTAAAACTACAGTGAAAATCGGTGTGTAAAAAATATAACAGTATAACAGTACAATCATTTTTTATTCCAAATTCAATTAAAGATTTATTTGAGAACTTGACTTGAATTATTCAAGAAGTTGACTTGAGCTATGCGTAATTAAAATCGTACTAAGAATGAGAAATTAACTGTCCCGTATTAAAATGAGATCCCACAAAATGCTTTCTTTAATTTATAATTTTATTTAATTTTTTGCATAATGCATGATAATTTTAATTAATTTCAGGGTATTCATTTCATTTAATTAATTGAAATCACAAGCGCTTAATTAATTAATGCCTTAATTAAATCGTTACATTCTAACTTTTGCATTATTTATAACTTATTATTAATTTATTTTGTTTTTAATTAGAAAAACTATTTAAAATGGCACGTAATGATGCTAAAAATGCTAAGAGAAGTTATTTTAAATTTCTGGTTGGAAATCCATTTTACGAAATCATTACTCCTGAAGAGTCCGAATTAATTCTGAATAACACTGTGGTCATTACTAAAGGTCTTCTATATAATTTTTTGCACCCACATCTCGGAACTGGTCTTTTGACAAGCACACGTAAGTAATCAGTTGTTTAATTTAAATTTAATTGTAAATGTAATAATTATTATTTCTTACATAGATCAAAAATGGCATACTAGAAGAAAATTATTAACGCCATCATTTCATTTTAATATTCTTCAAAAATTTTTAGAAACATTTAAGTGAGTTACAAAAAAAATATTTCTTAAAAGTTTACAGGATTTCAATTTATAAATTTTGAAAATTTATTTTATATTTATTTTAGGGATGAGAGTTTCAAATTTATAGCCAATATTAAGGATGAGTCCAGTGATATTGTCAATTTATCCGACGTGATTCCAAAATTTACTTTGAATACTGTTTGCGGTAAGTTTTAATACTATTTTAAGAAACTTTTCTTTGTTCTGCAAGAGACTCTCATTTTAATACTTTTAGAAACTGCACTTGGTGTTAATTTAGACGATATTGGCAAAAGTAAAGAATACCGCGAAAATATTTCAGCTTCCGAACAATTATTTATAAAACGCGTTTTCAATCCAGTTAAACATTTTGATTGTTTATATAAAATGTTTGAAGAACATGAACCATTCCAGCGCATTGTAAATGAATTACATAATTTTTCTAGCACAATTATTAAATTGAGAAGAAATATTTTCCAAAATAAAGATGTGACTCAAGATTCCTTAAAACCATCTTCAAATTCTGATGATGATATGTAAGTTTACTGAACTTGATTAACTTTGTGATTAAAATCGGTTTTTCCTTTGATTTTTTCAGATATTTTTTTAAAAAAGAAAGACGAGCAATGTTAGATACTCTCCTAGAAGCTGAAGAGAAGAACTTAATTGATCATCAAGGCATTTGTGAGGAAGTTGATACATTTATGTTTGGTAAGTCCTCAAATTACTGTTTGCAATTCATAAAGAAGTTATTTTTTTTATTTTTAGAGGGTTTTGATACAACATCAGCTGGATTAATGTTTGCTATTTTATGTTTAGGTACTTATCAAGAAATACAACAAAAATGTTATGAAGAAATTTTACAATTACCAGGTACAAATCTTCATGGAAATCCAATTAGAATTTTTTCAAACTAATTTTCACATTGATATTTTAGATGATTTTTCTAAATTGACCATCACTGATTTGAATAATCTTCAATATTTAGATTGTGTTATAAAAGAAAGTTTAAGATTATATCCTCCAGTACCAATGATTGCACGTAAAACCGATGAAGAAATTCAAATTGGAAATTATATTTTACCAAAGGGATGCAATATTCATATTCATATTTTTGAAGTACATAGAAATCCACATCATTTTCCAAATCCTGGAGTATTTGATCCTGATCGTTTTCTACCAGAAAATTCAATAAAACGTCATCCATATGCTTATATACCATTTAGTGCTGGAATTAGAAATTGTATTGGTAAACATTAGAATTAAAAAAAATGCGATTGCATATTTATATGTACTTATTAAATTAATTATTTTATTTTTAGGACAAAAATTTGCTCTTTTAGAAATCAAAGTATTAATCGCCAGTTTATTAAAGAATTACAAAATTTATCCAAAAACTAGAATTGAAGATATTGTATTTCAAGCTGGATTGATTCTTAGAAGTAAATATCCTCTCAAAGTTCGTCTCGAGCCCAGGCGTCATTAAAATTTTAAATTAAATATATATGTTATATACAGCAAAAAAAAATAAATGCGTTTCTAGAGTTTAATTAATCTTAGTTTAATTATTAATCAGTGATGTTCAACTGTTTTTGAAATCAGCCTTAAGATTTTACAAATATTTGCAGTTAGAATAAAATCTAACTTAAAAGATAAATGTTCCTAAACTCATTCCCAAAACCGTATGTAGATTTTATAGTTAACTTTTTGTTTATAATTATAATTTTGTTTATTTTTAATGAGAGAAATGTAATGGCCCTTCAAATCAGTACAAAATTTATCCATAAACAATGCTTGAAGACATTATTTTCGCTTTTTGGAAGTAAATACCCTATTGAACCTAAACGCGTCTTGAACCGAGGCATAATTAAAATATTATTTTATTGATATGATAAAATTAAAATAAAAAAAAAGTCTCCTATTATAAACAGCTAATTATAAATACTAAAACGAAACTATTATCTAAGAAGAAATTAAAAAACAAAAAAAAAATATAAACAGTTTTCAAGCTTTTGCGATAATCAACCTTAATTTATTAATTTTTTAATATTATTCAAAGAGAAGTCAAGAGATGATTATTCAAAAATTTTTAAAAAGCTTATTTTCTCAATTTACAATTTCTTCTATGTTTGGTTCTAAATCAGCGAATCAGTTCAACATTTCGCTTCAATAATAAAGGATTAAAATTTTGTTTTGAGAATGATTTTCATAACAATTTTTTTAATTATTTTAATAATTATTTTAAAAAAATTAAATAAAAATTATAATTTATTAGCCGGTTGTAGACGTATTAAAAATGTTGATGGTACTCCACTGTATGGCGTTTTTCCATCTTCAACAATATTTGGAAATAATTTTGATATCATCAGTTTGGATGAAGGTATTAAATGTGTTCATTTAAACTAAAAAAATAAATAAAATGTAATAGTAATTATTTTATTTATTAAGAAAATATTCTGTAATTAAGCTATACCAACATACACAATTAAATACATATTTTCCATAGATTAATTTCACCATAATTTAATAATTTTTAAAAATTTAGTGGTGAAAATTTAGTTCGATATCTTGCTTTTGCAATGACACAGAACTGAGATTTTTCCAGTAGCTTATATACATTTTAAAAGTTTTATAAATTCACAATAAACAAAGTAGTAAAAGGAAAAGAAAACAAAGTAGTTAACAAATGGAACTTGTTGCCAATGCACTTGTGCCCTATATACACTTACACATATCGAACTGCAAATTACTAAATAGTGATATTTGTCAACGGGTTAAAGTTTTATTATTATCTTTAGATATGGCTAGTGAAGCAGTCTAAATGACTCGACTAAAATTTTTTATAAATATTTATATTATTTTGTTATAAAAATCGAGCTTTTAATAAAAACAAAAACAAACCGGCTCTTATTCGAGTAGTTTATTTGTTTTTAGCACTTTTCCAAAAAATTTTTGAAAAAAAAGTGCTTATTAGTTTCACTCTGTCCGTCCGTCCGTCCGTCCGTCCGTCCGTCCGTCCGTGTGTCTGTTTACAAAACTTCTACACCCTTGAAGATAGAAAGCTGAAATTTTGTACGTACATAGATTTTTACTAGAAACTTATTTTCGTGGAACAAAATTTTTACCTATCTCCCCCCCTTTAGAAGTTATACCCCCCCAAAACCCTAAAAATGCCATTCTTTAACTATTTAGTGCAATGAAACCATAAGGATTTTTCAAATTTTGCAAACGCAGAAAGGCAGTGGCTTACTTCCCCTAGCGGGGTATACTAAAGGTTAACTTTAGAAAAACAAAATGGCCGCTCAAATTTACCGTTATCTAAAGTCCGTTTTTTCCAAATTTTTGATGTCGTTTATTTTCTAGACCCCAGCCTGTAGAAGCTTGAAATTTTATGGGCTTTTAGACATTAACAAATAGTTCATTTCGTTAGAAGAAATTTTTTTTCCATCTCCTTCCCCTCTCAAGTTATGGCCTCTTGAAATTTGTAAAATTTGAATTTTTGACACCTTATATTTCCGAAACCGCAAGCTTTTTCAAATTTCTATAAACATAAAAATCTAACGGTAAATTCCATGAAATTAAAAAATATAATTATTTTTCTTAACTCACATAATTAAACCTTAAAATCGAGCATTATGTTAACCCCTTTTTATATTAATTTTTGCTTTATTTCAAACACTGCATATATGCGTCATCCTAAATATATGCAATTCTAGAAATAGTTTTGTATATGAATGAAAATAATTTTAATAGTTTGATAGGTATACATAGACTGTATTTAAAAGCAGAATTTTCACTTGCTGAAGGGAAAAGTGCTACAATACAAACCATTGGTTTGAGCCAACTTTATTATAAAGATGATCGTGAATGAGTACAATAAAATTGAATGCCAATTGTTTTGTGCATTGGAACGCTATTTTTGGAAACCCTTATAAATATATATTTTTTAACTACCTATAATTTAATATAAAAAGCGTTAATAAGTTGCTTTCAGGGCAAAATTAGAACTGTAATAGACAAGATAATTATTTTGTTACATAAAAATAATTTCCACTGTTAGTCATCATAATAATTACAGTATAATTTTTATAATTATTTGATATATGATGAGTAACTCAAATTTTATAATTATGTATTACATTTAGTACGTTCTCCCATACAAATAAAATATGCATATATGCATGTATACCTGAATTTACAATTAAATGTCAGGAATAACGTAAAAAACCGAAGTATAATTAAATGTATAATTACAATCGGGTTGTGACGGTTCAATAGAATCAAAATTAAAATTAAATGAAATAGAGAAAATACTAATTTAATTACAATATGTGGAGGTCGATTAATTTTTTTTAAGATTTTTATAATTGCATTCAGCAAGCTTCCCAGAGATTGCATTCTACTGCGTGACTGTGTCAATAAAAATTTTACATACTCCTGGTTTCAAAGTTCTATTTACGTGAGCATTTCGCGTATCACGTTGATGTGTCATACTTCCATGTATAAGAACAGTGTTCGACATTAAGCGATTATGAGTAGTTTGATATATATATATATATATGTACGAGTATATATCCAATTTGCCTCATTTTTTAAATTTCTTTTCTTAATAAAATTAAACGCAAAAATAAAAAATAATTCTGAGTCCCGGTCTTTTATAATCATTTTTACATTTAGGTCGATTATCATCGATTGGTATTCACACTTCAATAAACAATAAGCTTCATAAATAAAACCAGTTCTAAATAATTCTTAATAAGAATAAGCTTAGTTTAGATTATTCCTGCTTCTTTAATTGCTACAACTATTAATTTAAAATTAGAACAGTTTTATTAATATATATTAAGCATATATGTATATGTATGTAAATTTTAATACGTTATACAATATACATATGTATATAGCTAAATAAAGAATAATAAATTAATCAATCAATAAAATTTAGCAATTTAATAGCGACTAATGAAATAAAGTTAATTAAGGATACTTTTAATTATTAAATTTAAATTTTATTAAATATTTTTGGGAGTCACAAATAGCTATAGTAAAATTTTCTAACTATTTACTTCGATATTTTAACTTACAATTCACAGTGATTAGTTTGAAAATGTTAATACTACGAATTATGACAATATAAATTGTAATTTAAATTTTAAAATAAAATAAATAAAAATTTTTGATTAAGAAATTTAATTGATGTAATAAATTTGAGGATTTTAGTTTTAATTGTCAAATTATTTGTATTTTTATAATTAAATTGCTCAATAACTTTTTCTTATAATAATTAAATTGTGAATATAAAATACAATTAAGAATGATAATTAACCATGTACAGCTTATACACACATCATTACACATACATAAATATTTGAAAGATATTAAACTTTCGTACTATTTTACGCAATTAATTCGCTTAGTTAACACTCAAATTGAATCATTATCAACTTTTGCATTATTTATGGTTTATTTTCGATTTATTTTGTATTTAATTAGAAAAACTATTTAAAATGACACGTAACGATGCTAAAAATGCTAAGAGAAGTTATTTTAAATATGTTGTTGCAACTCCAGTATATGAGATCATTACACCTGAAGATGTTGAATTAGTTTTAAATAACACTGCGGTCATTACTAAAGGTCTAGGATATGAATTTTTGCAACCACATCTTGGAACTGGTCTTCTAACAAGTACAAGTAAGAAATCACATCCAATAATCTTTGTAAATAAATTGAAAAATATAATAATTATTATTTTTTTATAGATCAAAAATGGCATGCAAGAAGAAAATTGTTAACACCATCATTTCATTTTAATATTCTTCAAAAATTTTTGGAAACATTTAAGTGAGTTCTAAAATATATAATTTTAATTTTTATATATGTAGCTTTTAAAATTTATTTTACATTTGTTGCAGAGATGAAAGCTTTAAATTTATAAATAACATTAAAAATCAACCCGATGATATTGTCAATTTATTTGATGTTATACAAAAATTTACTTTGAATACAGTTTGTGGTAAGAATTAAGCAATTTTTCATATTCTATTAGGCAATCTGATTTAATACTTTTAGAAACTGCACTTGGCGTTAATTTAGATGACATTGGTAAAAGTGAAGAATATAGAAAAAATATTTCAGCTTCGGAAAGATTTTTTATGAAACGAATTTTTAATCCAATTAAACAATTTGATGTGTTATACAAAATGTTTGAAGAATATGAGGCATATCAGAAGGTTGTTAATGAATTACACAAATTTTCCAGTACAATTATTAAATTAAGAAGAAATATTTTCCAAAATAAAGATAAAGACGATATACAAGATTCTAAGAAACCTTTATCAAACTCTGAAGATGACATGTAAGTTTATCTATAAACTAATTAATACTTGTGACGAAACAGATTTCATTTTTTGTTTGATAATTTCAGATATTTTTTCAAAAAAGAAAGACGAGCAATGTTGGACACCCTATTAGAAGCTGAAGAAAAGAATTTAATTGATCATCAAGGAATTTGTGAGGAAGTTGATACATTTATGTTTGGTAAGTCCTCAAATTACGGTTTGTAATTCATAAAGAAGTTACATTTTTTTTATTTTTAGAGGGTTTTGATACAACATCAGCTGGCTTAATGTTTACAATTTTATGTTTAGCTACTTATCAAGAAATACAAGAAAAATGTTATGAGGACATTTTACAATTACCAGGTACCTACAAAACTTCATGTAAATCCATTAAAAACTTTTAAAATTAATTTTTATATTGAAATTTTAGATGATTTTTCTGAATTAACAATAGCAAATTTAAATAATCTTCAATATTTGGATTGTGTTATAAAAGAAAGTTTAAGATTATATCCTCCTGTACCATTAATTGCACGTAAAACTGAAGAAGAAGTAGTAATAGGAAATTATATTTTACCAAAAGGATGCAATATTAATATTCATATATTCGACATACATAGAGATTCATATCATTTTCCAAATCCTGAAGTATTCGATCCTAATCGTTTTCTACCAGAAAATTCAATAAAACGTCATCCATATGCTTATATACCATTTAGTGCTGGAGTTAGAAATTGTATTGGTAAAGATTATAATTTATAATATTCTACTACATAATGTATATATCTATCAAAATTTTTTTTTTATTTTTAGGGCAAAAATTTGCTCTTTTGGAAATAAAAGTATTAATCGCCAGTTTATTAAAGAATTACAAAATTTATCCAAAAACTAAATTGGAAAACATTGTATTTCAAACTGGATTGATTCTTAGAAGTAAATATCCGGTTGAAATTCGACTTGAGCCCAGACATCATTAAAATTTAATTAATAAAATTTGATTTAACAGAAAATCAATTTAATTACAGAGTTTAATTAATCTTTTATAAATTTATATACTGAATTGAGCTAAATTAATAAGCAGTTTTACTACGCTATCAACAATTAAGAATTACTTCCATAAAATCAAAGTTTAATGATTCGTAGTAAGCATTAAATGTAACTTAAAAACTAAGTTCATAGACTCCAAAAAAAAAATAAATTGCAATTTATATTAATTCATTATTTAATTACATTTTTGCTTAATTACTTTGTTTTTAATTGAGGAGTCTAATCAATTTTATTACAATTTTTTTGAATTTAAATAAAGTATGTACGAGTAGCTAGTAGCGCACACTAAATAAATGCTCTAAAATAATGAAATTCGAAGATTTAAGAGAAGAATATCAAGCTTTTTTTCAATTTATTTTAGAATTTCTTTTCTATTTCTTTTTTTTTGATAATATTTTGTACTTAATTTTAAAAAGCTCTATGCTGCAATCTAATTTTATTAGATATTTTTCATTTAATATGAACCAGTTGAATATTTAACATTAAGAATAAAAGTATACAGAGAAAATTTTCTTTTAATAAAAAAAATGTTTTTAATAATATTTTTAATAGTATTAATAATTATTTTATATAATTTAAATAAAGATTATAATTTATTAGCTGGTTGTAGGCGTATAAAAACTGTTAATGGTTTACCCTTATATGGTGTTTATCCATCTTCAACTATATTTGGAAACAATTTTGATATTTTCAATTTAAATGAAGGTAAACAAATAATAATTGAGAATGAAATAGCATAAAAGTAAAGAAAAATTCAAAAAAATTTATTACAAAATTAATTTGAAATGAAATAAGTAATGAGAAATAAGTAATTCTTGTATTCGTTTACATTAAGAACTAAAATTTTTTATAATTGATAATAAATTATCAGGGTTGGTTTTTATTATGTGCTAGTTCTTATGACATTTGGAATAGTTTAAAATGCATACGCCTGGATATGTACATAATTTGTTCATCATAATAATGAAAAATTACCAAATAACAAATTTTTGTGATTGCTATATTCAACTTAGTGGAAAATATTCCTATATGCACAATGTTTTATAAAATGTAATTATCTCAAATGGAAACACATTTAAGTATACTGATTCCAAAGAGTGATAAGTTATAACATAAATTTGCGTAATCATTATCACTAAAATTACAATGTCAAACATAAATGAGTATAAACATTGTGGAGAAATTACAGACCGTGAAAAATTTTATAGTCATTGTTTACAATATTTCATTGTGCCGCTAATAAAAAACGTAAAAAATATAAAATGAAATAAATAAAATTTAAATTTCATCTTCTTTTAATAAATTTCTAAAAAGCTTTTTCACAAAATATCATTGAACTGATAAAGTTTATTTTTGTTGTAATCATAGATTCGCACTGAATTTATATGTACATAAATGACAATATGGCCAAGTAAATTCTTACAACATTCACTGAAACCAGAATAAAAATTTTCCTCAGATAATGGTAAAAAGGTTTATAATGCTTCAATAAATACAAATATGAAAAATCGGCTTTTTATTAAATAGCATAGCGGATACTTTATAAGAACTAAATCATAAATGAATAGAATGGTTTAAATACTTAAATCAATTGTACTGAATATACTAATTGACGATTCTAACTCCTTTTTCTTTTAGAAAAGCTCTTTAATATGGTTCGACAGGATGCCAAAAATGCTAAAAGAAGTTACTTTAAATATATAGTTGCAAATCCTGTATACGAGATTATAAAAGCTGAAGATGCAGAATTAGTTGTTAATAACACTACAATTATAAGTAAAAGTCGTGGTTATGAATTCTTACAACCATTCCTTGGAACTGGCCTCTTAACAAGTACACGTAAGTGCTTATATAAAATTATACTTGATTTGAATAATAAATCAAATTTAATAATTATTATTGCAGATCAAAAATGGCATGCAAGAAGAAAATTATTAACACCATCATTTCATTTTAATATTCTTCAAAAATTTTTGGAAACGTTTAAGTGAGTTTCAGTCAATATTTTGTAAAATCTTATTTTTAGTTTATTAACTTTAAAAATTTATCTTATATTTATTTTAGGGACGAAAGCTATAAATTTATAACCAATATTAAGAATCAGCCCAGTGATATTGTCAATTTATCTGATGTTATACCAAAATTTACTTTAAATACAGTTTGTGGTAAAAATTAAGCAATTTTTTCATGCTCTATAAGACAATTTCATTTAATACTTTTAGAAACTGCACTTGGCGTTAATTTAGATGACATTGGTAAAAGTGAGGAATATCGAAAAAATATATCAGCAACAGAACGATTTTTTATGATGCGAATCTTTAACCCTATAAAATATTTTGATTTCTTGTATGAAATGTTTGAAGAATGCAAAATACATCAGAATGTTGTAAATGAATTACACAAATTTTCCAGTACAATTATTAAGTTGAGAAGAAATATTTTTCAAAATAAAAATAAAAGTGTTGTTCCAGATTCCACAAAAGCCTCATCAAAATCTGACGATGATATGTAAGTTATGAGAAATTTAAAAATTAAGAAAATCTTTTTTTTGACCGATGATTTTAGATATTTTTTCAAAAAAGAAAGACGAGCAATGTTGGATACCCTTTTAGAAGCTGAAGAAAAGAATTTAATTGATCATCAAGGAATTTGTGAGGAAGTTGATACATTTATGTTTGGTTGTTTTCAAAGTAATTACGTAAAATTAATCTGAAAGTAACAAAATATTTTTATTTTTAGAGGGTTTTGATACAACATCAGCTGGGTTAATGTTTACAATTTTGTGTTTAGCAACTTACCAAGAAGTCCAGGAAAAATGCTATGAAGAAATTTTACAATTACAAGGTGAACACGCCATAAAATTATTTTTTAAATTCCACCATACTATTAAATTGATTTTGTAGATGATTTGTCCGATTTACTTATTACTGACATCAATAATCTTCAATATTTGGATTGTGTTATAAAAGAAAGTTTAAGATTATATCCTCCTGTACCATTAATTGCACGTAAAACTGATCATGAAGTCATAATGGAAAATTATATTTTACCAAAAGGACTCAACATTAATATCAATATATATGATATACACAGAGATCCACATTATTTTCCAAATCCTGAAGTATTTGATCCAAGTCGATTTCTTCCAGAAAACTCAATAAAACGACATCCATATTCTTATATACCATTTAGTGCTGGAGCCAGAAACTGTATTGGTATGTATTGATTAATTTTGGAAGCACTTGAAACTCCGCTACCAGCTTTTCATTATATTTAAACAATAACTAAATTATTGATTTTTAGGACAAAAGTTTGCTCTTTTGGAAATCAAAGTCTTGATTATTAATTTATTGAGAAACTACAAATTATATCCGAAAACTAAAATTGATGAAATAGTTTTTCAATCTGGATTAATCCTCAGAAGTAAATTTCCAATTGAAGTTCGTTTGACGCCAAGATAGTTTCGTTATTCAATCCAAACTGGTTTCAAAACATGTGAAAAATTAAATATATTAAATGTATTATACAAATTTTATAAAATTTGTAAGAAAAACAAAATTTAATGTAATTATTTTTAAAATAGTTTTTAAGTACAGTAAAAAATGTTCCAAATTATCAAAACGCAAATGCCCGCTAGAGTAAACAATATTTTAGACAAGTATACTTAGATTCAGTTATTTATGTAAGAAATCCCTATGTCTATATACATATCTTTGTCATATCGATTTTTTATTGTGCTAAATGTGTGCTATTTATTTTCATTTTAATAATTTATACACGTGAGCTTCACCTTTTGTACTTAACATCACATATATAATCTATCCAAATGGAATTCCTATCAATGATCTGTTAATAAGCTTGAATACATACGGATTTTAAAAGCAAATAAAGAAATCCAAGCTACAAAAAATATTAATAAGTTCATTATCAATTTATAAGCTTTAATCTACTTTAATATTATATTATCAATTTACAATATGTTGTTTGTATATGTGTATGTACAAGTCATACAGATAATAAATTGATATTATTGAAGATTGTTCTTATACTAAAATGAATTGTTTACAATTTAATTCAAATAAATTGCCTTTTACTGATACGCGTATGCAGTAGCGGAGTTAGTTAAGAAAAAATTGGAAATCTTATCGTTCTTTTAATTCTAAAAAAAAAAAAGAGAAGTAAGGAAAATTTTTTTTCTACTTCTAAAATTTTATTTGAATTTGTTTATAAATAGAAATTTTCTTACAACTCTGTAGGCATTTTCTTCATAAAACCTCTAAACAAAGTAGATCCAATTCTACTCATATGGAATTGAACTATAGTTCAAAAACTAACTATGTGTTTAAAAATCTAGAGCTCTTACACTTATGGACCAAAATCAATTCCACAATGCTACTAAGTTAATGCTATTAATTTCGGAAATTTATAGTTACAGTTTCCAGAGTAAAACACGTGAAAATTATGAACAAAATAATAATAAAAAGCAAAATTATCTTTAAGCTTTCATAAAGTAAATAATAGAAAAGTTTCTTACTTAAAATTACATTTTTCTTATACTTACTATACGGATTTAAAAATACAATATAGGAACATATATGTGGTCTTCAATCTGATGAAAAAAAAGCTTAAATTCGACGGCATTTTTGTAATTCACTTTAGTTGAAACCTTTATCTTAATAAATAAACATCTTTTGAATTACACAGGAATATTATATTACACAGTATTAACCGAAAAGGATTCCTAAAAAAAAAGACAATTTTTTCAATTAAAATGATTTTAGTTACAATTTTTTTAATTATAATTGTAATTATATTATGGAAATTGAATAAAAATTTCTATTTATTAGCTGCTTGTAGGCGAATAAAAACTGTAAATGGTGATCTTTTGTATGGTGTTTATCCATCAAAAACAATTTTTGGTCACTCTTTTGATTACATTTTTATGGATGAAGGTAAGATTTTAAAAAAGAAAGATTAGAAAAGAAAAAAATAAGTAAATTCAAAAAATTTCAACATAACAAAATTGAAAATATTAACGGGTGTATAATGATAGAATTAAAGAAACAATTTCTTACCGAAATCTTTAATTTAACGATAATTAATTACAAACAGAATTGAATACTTAGGTTCAAGATAAGTTCAAATGAAATTATGTGGATTTATTTTAATCAATTAAATAAAATTCCTTCATTTTAAGTTTACATAACAAACATGTAACAAATCGGGCTTGCTATAAGCTTAGTGCATTTTAATGCAATGTCCTCCAAATACAATAACTAAAAAAAAAAAATAAAAATTTTTTGCAATTATTGTTTAAGAACAAATTATTGATTTGTTTTGTAAATCAATAATTTTTTCTTAAACAATTTTTAATCTTGATTTCATCTCCTAGATGAAAATAATATTGTTTTCGCATTTGATTTATCAGTGAAAATGTAAAAATAAAGGGCAAAGTGAAATGATTTAAATGACAGATTAAATTTCTAGAACTAATTTTACATAATTATACCCTTAAATTATGTATTTTACAATTTCTGTAATAATCAAAAGTATAATCTTTAAGTTTACATAAGAAAAAGCTATTTCTATAGCAATCCAAAGAATAATTCTTAAATTAAAAATTGCATTGTTTAATTAAGTCAGCTACACCTACGTTCTATAAAGTGTTACTGAATGAAATATCTTAAAAGAAGTGGAAAATTTTTTATACAATTCTTCATATTTTGCAAAATTAAATCGAGAATTTAGTTCCTACAAAATATAAAGTTGAATTAGATAAAAATTATTACAATCATTTATTCACTTATTCATTATTATGCAAATTTTAAAACTGTAAGTGATTTTAAATCCAACTCATGTATGATTAAAAATATCGTATTATCTGAAATAACAATGATTTTTATGATTATAACAAATTTAACATAATTTTATAATATTTTGTTCTTTACAACTGAAATCTTTTTTCATTTTCATTCATATACAGCACAATTATTCCAAATGATTAGAAATAATGTTAGGAATGCCAAAAGAAGTTATTTTAGATACGTATTTGCAAATCCTATATATGATGTTAATACACCAGAAGACGTTGAATTAATACTTAATAACACAACAGTAATAACTAAAAGTCGAGCATATGAGTTTTTACACACGTTCTTGGGAACTGGTCTCTTAACAAGTACACGTAAGTTTACTTTTAAATTCTATTTTTAAAGTATTCCTTTTTAAAAATAAAATACAATATGTATATGAATTAAACATTATTAGCTACAATTGACTTTTTGTCTTCTTCCAATAATTTTAGATGAAAAATGGCATTCTAGACGAAAATTATTGACTCCATCCTTTCATTTTAATATTCTACAAAGATTTTTAGAAACATTCAAGTTAGTATTTAAAATAATTACAAAACATCGAATTTATTTTAACAGATAAATATTTAATTTAAATAGAATAAATTTAGAAAATAATTATAATTTAATATTTAATTTTTGATATACTTAGAGATGAAAGTAAAAAATTTATAACAAATCTTAAAGCACAAACAACTGAAGAAACTAGTTTGTCGAAAATTATTCCGGAATTTACATTAAATAGTATTTGTGGTAATATAAATTTTATAATTTTAAATGAAATAGCTACTTGAAAACAATTTTTTAAATTTTTAGAGACAGCGCTTGGTGTTAATTTAGATGATATTGGGGAAAGTAAAAAATATCACAAAAATATAACAGCAACAGAAAAACTATTTGTAAAACGATTGATTCACCCATTAAAATATTTTGATATAACTTACAAAATGTTTAAAGAATATCAAACTAATTTAGACGTTGTTAATGAATTACATAAATTTTCAAGTACAATAATAAATTTACGAAGAAATATTTTTCAAAATAAAAATGATAATTCGACAAATTCAGATGATGACACGTGAGCCTCACAAATTTAATTAATTTTGGTTGATTTATTACATTTTATTTTTTTTAATGATCCCCAGTAGCATTTTCAAAAAGAAAAGACGTGCAATGTTAGATACTCTTTTAGAAGCTGAAGAAAAAAAATTAATTGATCATGAAGGGATTTGTGAGGAAGTTGATACATTTATGTTCGGCAAGTCGTCAAATTAGTGCTTTACTCCACAAATATGATAATTTATTTTTTATTTTTAGAGGGTTTTGATACAACGTCAGCTGGATTAATGTTTACAATTTTATGTTTAGCTACTTATCAAGAAATACAAGAAAAATGTTATGAAGACATTTTACAATTACCAGGTATGTTTACAAACATTTATAAAAATCTAATTAGTATTCTCTATAGTAAATTATTACATTAAAATTTTAGATGACTTTTCTGAATTAACAATAGCAGATTTAAATAATTTACAATATTTAGAATGTGTTATTAAAGAAAGTTTAAGACTTTATCCTCCAGTACCATTAATTGCACGTAAAACCGATCATGAAGTTATAATAGGAGACCTTATATTACCAAAAGGACTAAATATATTTATTAATATTTATGATATACATAGAAATTCACATCATTTTCCAAATCCTGAAACATTTGATCCAGATCGTTTTTTACCAGAAAACTCAATTAATCGACATCCATACGCTTATATACCATTTAGTGCAGGATCACGAAATTGTATTGGTAAATATGTATTTTGTTTTGGATTTCATACATTTTATCATCAAAACTAATTTTGTTGATATTTTGTAACGTTATTGTACAATGATATTTATTAAGAATAATTTCAATTTTTAGGACAAAAATTTGCAATGCTGGAAATGAAAATATTGCTTGCCAATTTATTAAAAAATTATAAAATTTATCCAAAAACAAAAATTGAAGATCTCGTTTTTGAAATGGGTCTAATTTTACGTTCTAGATATCCAATAGAAGTTTATGTTAAATCAAGATAACTAAAAATTTAAAAAGAAAAATAAATTTTTAATAAATTTAATAATTATAATAAAAAATTACTAAGATTAACAATTTTGCCTTTAATATTTGAGTTTTAACGTTTTCTTTTCTGTATAGCTAAATTTAGAAGCAAACTTCCGAATATTTCATTCTTCCAAGTAACACAAGAGTTTTAAATGATAAGTGATAGTTATGAATATTTTCTAGAGCAATGTTACTTAAATTTTAAAATTTTAACAAAGTAAATGCACTTACTTTTTTTTATAAAAACATGTTTAAAACGCTTATACACTTTTTCTTAAGATGCTTTTCTTGATTGTAGGTAAATGGCCACAGACTCATTGCATTAATCCAGCGAATATTAAATATAGTTTTATTAAATTATTATTAAATTATGCTTTTTCCATAATTTTGAAATATCAAATGAATAAAAACCAACACCTTAAAAATTCTCTAACCACTCATCATTAACTGTTCTTCAACAATAATATTTTTTTTTTAAAAATACTTTGTTAAGATGTCGCTTTTTATAATTTCCATATAATTTCCAATTTAAAATGTGTATTGGGCTAAACAAGAAAAAGAAAAACCCAATAGATATTCTAGCATATGGCATCAATTTTCAAGGCGTAGTTGACATTATATGTCAAATATGACAGCGGCTCATATCAAAATGACTGATTAATCAAAAAACAAGAAGATAAAAAAGAAAAAAATAAGAAAAAAAAGGAAAGAATCTTTTTTCAAATGTCAAAAAAAAGAAAAATATTTTTTTTTGTATCGGAAGATTAAAGTTGGTGTGTAACATAAATAATTTTTTAAATTTAAATAAATATTTATTCAAAATAATTGAGAAATAATAATAAAGTTTCTTCAACAAAATCCTAATAAAGTATTTTATAATATTAAATATTGAACGAGTAATGAAATGTAAAGAAATATTGAAATATTTGAAGGAAAAAAAAAGAATTTTTCCTCTTCGCATTTTTTTTTTTGAATAATTACGCGTAACAAAAACACGGGTTACGACGACAACGACAACGACGACGGGGATTAACTTACTGATAAAAAGAAGAATATTATACACATATATATATGGGTAGATATATCTACATAATATTAAGAGTAAAATCAAATCTTTCAATATAAATATAACAAAATTTATCCTCCGAAAAAGATTTTTAAGAAATACAAGGAAATTTTTATCTTAATTGTACATGAACATGAAAATTTTATTAAATTTTGGCTTCAATTTTTAATAGACAAATTTGTGTATACATGGCAGTAAACTATTAAGTATAATTTTAAATAGAATAAAAAATTGAAGGTGAAAAAAGCTGAAAAAGGCTTCAGAGAGTAAATCGATTCAAAAGTGATTTTGATTATTCGTAATAACTAATAAGTATAACAAGTATAACAAAAAAGTATAACAAAAAAAAAAAATCAAGATTTCAGAATTTTGTAAAATTATCTACATAAATACCTACTTAATATTTTGCAATCGATCATATACAAATAATTGAGAAAATATAATTAAATAATAGCAAAATTAAAAAAAATTATTTTTTGGTCTCAATCTCAAGTACCTACTATTTTGATTGTAGTTATGGTTGTTCCCCCCTCTATATGCATAATATGTATGTACGTATACAAACAAGATAAGTGATTTAAAAACATAAAAAAAATATGATAGAAATAAAAAATAAAACAAAAGAAATATTAAAAAAAAATTTCTAATTGAAATATCATTGAAATTTGTTAAATTAAAACAAAAACTTTAGAAGTGATTATTTAACATTTTCTTCCTCATTTTATATCAAAAAACAAAAAAATACATTTGTTTGGTTGGATTTGTGTTGTATTCCAAACACGTATACAAAATAACTAAGAGTGTATAACCTACCTGTGCATGCCTGCCTGATTGCCTATGTAACAAAAACAATAAAAAAAAAACAGAAAAAATATATCAGCGAAATTTAAAAAAAAAGAAGAGAAAGAAAAATTTGAATATTCAAAAAAATACAAAAATAAAAAAAAAATAGAAATTGGGCCACTAATGTCAAGAATTTAATAAAATAAATATTAAAGGTATAGTTTAAAACTTAGTAGGTATTTAATAAATAAACAAATAAAAAAATTACAAATTTGAATTTTAAAATAGATGTTAATTATATATTCTTGTGTGTATTAGAAATCATTAGAAAAATTTACACCTATACTTACCTATAGAAAGACAACAACAAGCATAATATAAATTTTATTATTTAAAATTATTACCTATAAACATTACGTAATTATGAAATTATTATTCCGGTTTCATATACACATACATATATCTTCTTTGCCTTTAACTATAACTAGGTAGATTACCTAATCCTTTAGTTTACTCTCTTAATTTCTATTCTGTAAAAATCATATGTAACAATTAAATTAACCCTTACCTATTTGTATTGTAAAGTAAAACCTGTAAGTAACTAAGAAGTTACCCCCAAAATTTAACTAGAAGTAGTAAAAATTCTTATACTTACCCTTATCATACTTACCTATGTACACCTACATGTTTATACCTACTACTTATATAATTATACATATGTGGATATATTTTTAGAATTTGTTTGTTGTACTTTTAATTTGTTTGTTGTACTTTTTTTATATTAAAATATTTAATTATACCATTATAAATGACTAATTATTATTCCATGTTTTTGTATAAATTAATGACATTCTTCTATTATTTATTATTATTTTATTTCTTTTTTTAGATTATACTGTTGAACATGCTTATTTGTGTACTTATATATAGGTACCTAGATTATACAGTCGAACACGCTTATTTGCAACACGCATACGTATAAAATCAAAAATTTTTCTAATGTATTACATTTTTTGCGCATATATAAGTTTTCTAATCAAATTTGAATAGAAAAAGTGTGCATATATTAAGCCGGTTTGACTGTAATTACTTTTTATAGATATATACCAACATAATTTTATTAAAATTTAATGATTAATCAAATAAATTTTATAATTCAAATATTTATTCTTATCCAAATTTGTACGTATTTCTACATAACTAGTTAATTGAATGTGCAAGGCCATTACATAGGATGGTACTTCTTATATTTTTTCATTGTTTTCGTACTTGTAAGTACCTTTATGTTTACAAGTACCTTTATATCTATACTATTCGCATATACGTACATAACTAGGGACGTGCTTTAAAATTTTTTTCTTAAATATTAAAAATCAACAATTTTCTCATCTCTAACTTTCAAATGTTCTTTAATGATATTTATTACCTAATCTATAACGAAATGTAATCTATACAATAGACATTTACTAGTTACAAGTAGTAATACAATATCATACTCACACTTACTTAAGTACTAGAAGAAACATTTTTTAACTATTTTGTTTAAATTTTTTTTGTTTTAATTTTCAAGCTTTTCGCTCATTCATTTAATATTTAATATTTTGATATATATACATATATATTTGTAGAGGCCATTATTGAATAATGTAAAAATTTAAAAAAAAAATAATAGATGTCTTACTTACATCTGAATATTAGACAGATATGTATACATATGTATACATATATACATACGTATACGTATACGTAAAGTTATAGTTGTTGTTCTCATCTATGAAAATTAATTACTAATTAAGGTATCCGGATAAAAAATACAAGTAAATATAAGTAATTATAGCGATATCTGCCTAACTAAATAAGAATATTATATTTTCTACTTATAGATTTATAGAATTAAATGTATCACTTATTATCAAATAAATAAAAAATATAAATATAGTGTGAAATATAGACAAAAAACAAAACAGAAACTAGTGCTAATTATTTAAAAAAAAGTAGTTAACTTAAAAAATTAGAAATTGTATTTTGATTCCTTTAGAGTATAACAAAAGTTAAACAAAATTTGTGTGAAATTAAACTTGCCAATTTTTCTTTTTTTACAAATTAATTATACATTAAAAAGTAGTTATATTTAAAATAAAAACAATAACAAACAATAATAAGAAACCAAAAAAGTATAAACAAAACTCTTAATATAAGTAAACATAACCTACAATTTACAAACCTACGTCAACCATATTCTTACCATATAAATTTAGAAGAGATCTTTTTGTTTAGATTTTATTATTGTAATTATTATTTGTAATTAAGTACCTATATACATAGTTTTTCTTAAATTAAAAAAAAAATTGAATTTCTTTTCGTATTTAAAAACAATTATTTTAAAATTTATACAAATTGTGCTATTTAATTTGCTGTGTTTGCAACATTTTTATTTGTTTACTTCAACATTTTGTGTTCAACAATCCTCAAACAGGTAAATATTTTCTAATTTTTTTTTGTTTTTTTTTTTTCTCTTCTTTAGTACAATAATTTCTCTTAAATATAACAACTTTAAATTTTATTACTCATTTAAAATGAATATTTATTAATTTATAATATTTTTTTTTCAACAATCATATTCTATTAGTCGACCACTTGACGTGACCGCGTTGTTATTCAAAAAATTTTGAGTTTTCCAGAATAAAATCAATTTCGAAATTTAATTAATATTGAAAACTAAAATATTTTATCAATAATATCAAATTACCTCAAGTGTTACGACTAACAGAATAAGGGTGATCATATGTTGTGAATGATAATATCCAGAAATTAGAATTTTGTATAGATGAAATTCATTTTTATGTTATTTGTGCATTTGTACATGTATTTTTATTAATTTACTCAAAAAATATATTAAGTATAGTATCTAAATTTAATTGATTATATTATTGAAATGCATGCTCTTGTATTTAATTAAATTAATATTATTATTATATATTAATATTGTGAAAATAATTGCAGTAAATAATATTAAATAAATATCATGAATTTCAGAATTGCAGTTATATTGTATTCCTGTACAATATTTAGCAAAATTACAACTGATACACTAAATTTTGTGTTAATGCCATATTATACTGCAATTTTGAGGTAAAGAATACTATTATTATAGTAAGCTTTACCCTATTTACTTTCATTCAAAAACCGGCTTACCGTATAACTCGCTATTATTTACTTACTACGGATAAATTCACTTAAAAAATAATATTTTAAAAAATTAACAACACTTACTAAAAAATTAATTATAATTCATTAATAATTATGTAATTAAAATTTCATTTACTTACTTATACTTATATTTAATTATTGTTATTAAAATGGAATAAAAAATTTAATATTAATAAAATATTAGACGCACCTAGTGTATTAGAAAATAAACAAAAATAAATATGTAAACAATCAATTTAATAAATATTGTATATAAACTTTTTATTTGTATCTCAACAAAATGTTTATAAAAATTGTTTATAAATTATTTTTGCTTATTACGAATTTTTTATTATTATTATAATTTTATTATTATGTTATTATTCAATTTTTTTCTTTATTATTGTTATTATTATTGTGTGTAGAACAACAACGTCAACGTTTGGCAGCATCAAACGAAGAAATACAAAGGTTGCAGCCACAAAATAGTAATAATCAAAATAAAACCGTTGATTATACGGGGCGGCAGCAGCAACAGCAGCAGCAGCGAAAAAGCAGCGAAAATAATATTAAGAGTGGCCGGCAACATAATTCACAACAGAATAATAATACCAATATGGCTTGGACAGAGGTAAGGTTTTCTCAAGTTCAATTTTTGTTATTTTTTTTTTTCTTGTTACTTTTCATGTTATACACTTTATTCTGATAATGTTTCTTTATTTTTTATGATAATACAAAATAGCCTATACGTTCACTTTACCGATTTTTTTTTTTATTTTATAAAGAACGGAAAAGAATGATTCTCTACTAACATCAATGTTAGGAGAAGAAATGAAAATGAAAATATTTTTTTTACTTTGTTACCCAAAATGCTTTTAATACTTTGACTGTAAAGCAGTTAATTGGAAAAAATTTAAACTTTGAATATGTACTTTTGTTTCGGAAAACTTTTTCGAAAATGTTAATGAAAATTTAAAAAAAAAAAAATTTTTTTATGGTATAAAAAAAGCTTCTAGAAATTTTCGAAAATTTTTACCATAAAACATGCGTTGCTAATGTAATTTTTTATTCTCTCCGTAATTGAACGTAATAAGAGAATTAAGAGAAATTTATTTTTCTCTTTAAAAATTTTGCAATATTGAAGAAAAGTACATAAGAAAATTGCATTATTGTTATCTAACACTGAGCCGATCCTATATCAGTTTAACTTCGCGTGCATTTATGGACATATAAATTACGTACATACTAATAATATAATTTTAGAGAATATACAAGTATGCACTTGTACTTATAGTCATATGTATGTGCATACATTATGGTAAGCTTTACATAAGAAAAATCTGTTTATTATGTATTATGAAAATGTTTATTATGTATTTTATCTTGAATTATATTATGTATTACGAGCAAATAAGTTTTGTACCTACATGCACGTATGTATGTATGAGTCTCCTGAAATATGTTTTTAGATGCAGTTAGATTCTTGTATATATTTTCATTAAGATTGTCATTGTGTACATATTATAATTTATGTTCTATAAGTATTTGAAGCCGAAAATTACTTATGTATGTATGTATACAATTCATATGTACATATGTTAAGATGAAGGTACATACACTTAACATGAAATAAGGACATTTTTTTATGACGAGTATTTGATATACAAAAAAAAATCGACATTTTCGAATTAATACTAAATTATTTTAGATATAATTTTTTTAGATATTTTAAATTGTAATTTGAATATTTTATTTCTCTAAGGTTTTGACTTGAATAAAAACAGTTTCCGTATCGTTTTAATTACTAATAACTTTACAAACACTTTTTACGAACTAACTTTGTTTTCAATCCCACGTCTTACACATTCAATACTGTAATACTTATACTTTTTGAGATCCCAATTAAATTACAATTTTTAAAAATTTAATTAAAGTACAATTGATATAATAATTTTTATTGAAAGGGCAATGCCGTCCTAAGTTTCTTGATTATATTATTTTGTGAACTATCAATAATTCGGGATGTAAATTAAACGATTAAATACGAAACCTTCAAAATAAACAAAAACCTTAATAATTAGTACTCATAAGTATATAGAAGAATATATAACAAGAGAGATAATACGATCATTATACTAATTAAAAAAAATCAATCACTTGTATTAAAAAATATTATAAATTATTTTATTAAGTGGATTATTTATTTAAACATCTAACTGTATTAATTATTCTTCACTCGTATAATCATCTTATATATTAATATTTAAATTACAACAACTAAATAACTAATTTCAACAACTAAATTATTAAAAAAAATTTGAGGTAGCTCTTATTTTTGACCTTGACCAATCAATCCAAACTAAAGATTATTGAATTTTTCCTTTTATTTTTATTAATTTCTTTAATGGAAAACTTTTATGGCCAAAACATCATCATCATCAGCATTATCATATAATATATTACAATCTATTAAAAAATAAAATAAAAACAAAAAAAAAATTAATATTAAAACAAACCTAAACAAATTTTTCAAAACAAAAACTTTGAAGAAACGCAAAGCTCATATTAAAGTGAATTGATAACAGTAAACACGAACAACAACGAAAATATCCTTTGGGTAGGTCAGGTTAGTTATGCTTTTCTTTTTTCTTTCTTATAGTTTAATATGCTAACTAAACTAATATTCCTTTATGTTATGTTATTTGCATATCTTTGATATTTACAATATTTAAGAAAAAATAAATGAAAAGTATGGAACAAAATAGCATTTCCAGTTTGCAATGGGGTACTTTACGGCCCAGAAGGAGTTTAATGGCGCAATAGTGTCACCATGTAAATGGTATATAATGCAATGGGATATATAATTCTGAAACATCTCTTAATGAAGAATTGTAACCTGAGGCCGAAAAGCTTTTGATGTTAGCCAGGTCTCGCTACCATATGTCACAAGTGTAAAAACATATATCGGTCACAAAGTGACACATGTGTTAAAATTGGCAATATGAGAGGTTCTGTACCTTATGCGAAAACAAAAGAAAATTTGCTTTAATAAACACTCTTAGTTATTAGTTACACATTTCTATTTGGCCTCCAAATCTTATATTCAAATAAAATTGTCAAATGTATCAAAATCAACGAGTAATATTTGAAAAACAACAGCAACGTGCTTGTCTGCAACAATTTATTAACACATCTGCAGAAATTCTAATCAATGACAAAACGCTTTGTCAATCATAACATTTACATGGGACAGCTGGCAATAAGATGCTAAATAGTTATAATTATATAATGACATTATGAACCGATGTAGAAATTTAAAATAAATTTTAAGAAATGTGCTCGATGCATGGAATTATAAAAAGAAATGATGTAATTTTTTCAACCTTAACTACATAAAATAAATATTTTGAAAGGGAAAAAAAATTTTTTAGGGTGAGAAAAAACGACTTGACTATATTTTGAAAACGTTGTTTTTATTTAAATGTCATAATATTTGGGTGTCATTTAGTGATTAATCTATTTTTAATGCCCTTTATTAAAAGGTGAGCTCATACTTATTAAATTTTTATTTTTTGATCAACAACAAAAATTTTATGTTTTTATTAATTTTTTATAAAAACGCAAAACTACCAAAATTACTATTTTTTTTTTTGTTCTTATTATTGCTCTTGTTATCTTTTGTTTTTTATTAACTAATCCTATTTGTTTATAATATGCTAACATTAATTTGGTTGACTATAATTGACTATTATTGATTGTTATTTACTGTTATATTCGTAATTAATCTGTAAATTGGAATTGAAAAATATTATCATTTAAACACATTTTCGAGTAGTTATACAAGTACAGAGTTATGTGTCATTAATTGTCAAGCCGTTTCCAAACAGCTTCGAAGCTACAATGAATATTCGTCTGACAAAATTTTTTCACTTCAATTTTTTTTCAAAACCCTCCAAAACTACCACTAGACGTCCGAGTTTCCTTCTATTCATACGATTTTTTTCGCAAAAAACTCCAGTGAATCACATCCCAAAAGATTTAGCACTTGGACCGCAACACTCTTACTTATTCTAATGCTATATATATAATCTGTCATCACAAAGCTGAAATTAATTTCCGAAGTGTTCCGAAGTAAAAAATTCACGAAATTTTTAATATTTAATGTTTTATATTCCGAAGTATTCCGATTGAAATATTTTTGTTCAATTTTTGAGAATTATATTATATACGCACGTATGCTTATGGCATTACTTATCCCATTGTCAACCTTCTTTCAACATTTTAACTGTTAAAACCAATGTCTCAACTGATTATTTATTAAAATTTCTTTCTCTATTTCTTATTTTATTTCATGTTTGTTCGTTTTTTTTTATGATTTACTCTCAATAAATTAAATTGCATTCGATTCGGTTCATTCACTTTATTCTGTGCTTATTTTTCTTTTGCATTTGATATATTATAAGAATGTTGATATATACACTTAGGTAGTGATAATTTAGTTTCTAACATGTCAAACGACTTTTAATATAATATGAATTCAATTTGTTGCAATGAGATTTTCCATATAAAAACTTACGCATCTGTTACAATGGCTAGTGTCGCGTAATCATATTACTTTATAAGCCTATAATATTATGTACATATGTAATATTTAATATCTGCACATACATAAGTTGTCCCAAAATGATCTAAAAGTAAATTGTAGCTTTGTAGATTTTTACAGCCGGGATAACAGTGCACCGCGACTGTGTATGAGAATCGATTGTCCTTTCCCTGAGTGTGGAGTATGCCCCTATAACACCCGCTTGAGATCCATCCCCCTAATGAACTCGAATACCTTATAAAGCCCGGTAGACCTAAACTCCGCCGTCGTAAAGGCTAAGTCCTCCAGTCTCTTTTCTTACTTCCCTAGAGCCATTGAGCTTACCTAGACGACTGCAAATGCCGGAACTAAATTTAGTGCTCTAACGGCAGCCCGGCATGATTTATATGTTAGTATATCTGTAAACAGTTTTTTTTTTTTGGAAGGCATACTTTGAATGTCTTGAATATCTTGTTCCTGTATTTCGATATACAGCACATTTTATATTACTATATACTCAATAATAATGCAATATTTATGTACAATAGCACAACCAGTTGTTAAAATTTTTAACTTTCTTTAGTATTTTAATATTAAATTTTTTTTTTCTTTCAAATTTTCAAAAGTGATGACAACCTGTCGAGTAGAAGGAGTATTTTGTTAATCGATTTTTTTTTTGCAATGAGCAATGAAACATTTGCTTATTAAATCACGTTAGATAAACGGGTAATAGCTACTTTTTTTCAATATTATAAAAATAATAGCTTTCTATCATCTTAAACTTATATGTTTGTGGCTGTGTACATAAACACATAGTAAACTTTGTATAATTAACCACATTGTATATAAACATTTATTTCCATGTACATACACTTTAACATATTTGAGTGAGTGAATAAACTAAGAAGTATGATGACACAAAATTCAACAAAAAAAAAATGGAAATCAATACAGTTGACCACGTTAATTGTGTAATTCTCTTATATTTAAAAGAAATCTAACCATTTATTTTTCAAAAATAATGGCTCTGTCATTAATATAGTTTGTAC